CTTCAGCCGTTACTTACTCACGACATCAACGTCGTTCTTAGAACGTTGTTAGTTCACGTTCTATGGAAAATATGATATTGATAATGATATGAAGGACATTTGAAATAGTAGGGCTACAGTAGCCTGTCATACACCCACAATAAAGCTGATGGTTAATGATAGTTCCAGGACCAATAAAAGCAGCTGACCCATCATGTTTGGGATAAAGCAGTGAGTGCCGTGAAAGTGTTTTTGAGAACATGTAGTTAAAAGAGCCCAGAAGCTGCGTATAAACATGCGAAACGGCTCTTGCCGCAGCGAGTCGTCCGTGAACAGTGATTATGAAGGGTTGCGTGCAATCTGTCAAATTGTCTCATTTGCATAATAAACTCGGAGAGCAGCCACTCTCCTCACGCCGAGATAAACCGTAAGTGTATTCAAGCGAATTTTCAGAAAGAAGTCATTTGCTTCCCCAAAAAGGGCTCGGTTAAGGTCGCATAAGAATTGGATTAGCATAACATAACAGAAAACTCAAACCTTTCTGTTACCGAGATAATTAAAGCTGAATTCAGTATACGATCAGACACGTTGAGAAACATCTGGAATGGAGGTGTTGGAAGCCCACAACCCAAATTACATCATCATAATTATGACATGAAAGTCAAAATTATGATATAGCCTACCAAATCATATTTATGAAATGAAAAGTCGAATTTTGACATATAATGTTGAAACTGACAAAAAAATACATTATTTTGACTTTTATCTCTCAATTTCGACTTTTTATGTCATAACTCCGGTATTGTGGATATATGATGTTCAAGATTAAGACTGACTTTGATAGTCAAATTTCAAAAATATTTTCATAATAAATCAGAAAAAGTTTTTTTTTTTTTTTAGTAAAAAGTGATAAAGGGGTCTTACAAGTAGGCTAGTTTCAGAGGGAAAGACTACGAGTGATAATTGAATAAACTGGTGCACAATTCTAGTGATAATTTCGATTCACATTAAAGTATAAACGTTGCTGTTTTCCAAACTAGGCCTAATATTAAATGTTGTTGACCCACATCTCAAGAATCAGTGCTGCGTCAATCCAAAAGATCTCAAGAAAACAAATCAGCCGCATTGTTGGATCAAATGCATTTGAAAGTATTCAGCCTTGATTAGTTCCGAATACAAGTGCATTGAAATATTTCTAAGCAATTATTCTGGGCAAAATGCATTCTATCTTGTTCATCTCCCATAGATGATGTCTGGCTCTTTCTCCAGGATTACTTTTCCATGCCTTGATTCAATTGATGCGCCATTTGTAGCTGAGCTCTGCCACGGGCGGCGGACGGTCCAATTTACTTCTATCTCATTTATTAGAAATTTCCATGGCTTTTGGCTGCTCTGATGCAAACGGCGCTTTGATGGGCTCCCGAGGAACAGTCAGTGGCGCCTCCAGAAATTTTTCGTAGGGGTGGCCAGATGGGGCCAGTTAAAATCTTGGGGTGGCACACCAAAACTACAGTATAAACCATAATTTCAGAATTGTTTTCTACTGTTGTAATAAACCAGCCTGTAGAAGCCTGCAGAAAGACTTAAGGAAACTCCTACTGATATACTTTGGTTTATTGTGTAATATTTAATGTTACTAATGATATTAGTAGGGCCCAACTAATATATATTACATTGTATGTAATGATATATATTATATTATATATAAGGGTCCTTGCCCCACAGCAAATTTCCAGATACTTACATAATTGTGATGAATTTAATCATTTTTAAGTTATTAGTTTGCAGTGTAACATTACAGTTAACACCTTTAAATATTACATAAATGTATTATGAATTTTTAATACACTTAATGAGTGTATACATCAGCAGCAAAAAGTAATTCTTGAAAAAATCTGCACAGTAATTTATATAAATCTAAATATGTTAATAAAAACAAATTACTATTAGTTCTCTTTTAAAATTCAATCAGGCAATCATGTCACAATTTTATATTTATATATTACTGTCAAGAATTCAGAAGTGCATAGCCTAAACTACAAATAAATTATATACAATTAAATTATGCTTATTTAAAATGTATTGAGCAGGCTAGGTATAACAAAATATATTGGCTTTTAATAATATTTCAGTGCGCAAACCCATGATTGAGCCCGTTCTTGCATGATTACATGAAAAACATCGCGGGTGCAGAATGATGTGCTCAAAGCAACATGGAGTCACAGTGTGCAGCAGCACTGCGCTTCATAAATGTGCATTTAAAAGCTCATGTCACAAATCGAAAAAATGTTGAGCACACAAATCCAAGTGCGATTTGTTCCTTTGTTTCACAGTTATTGTGCGTTTGATGCCGATTCATAATCCTTGTGATATGTATGTGTGATCTAACAGAACACGCCGGTGAGTCGCTTAAAAACCGCAACAAACTCCAAGAAAATAAAGTAATTTTATGCGAATATACAGACTTTTATCTACAGATCATGCATTTATAATGTCAATATATCATATTGGAGAGAGTTTTACCGTGCATCCAAGAGGCACGCGTGCTGTTTGAATATGAATGGAGGATGATGACAGTCGCAGAGGAGGGAAAACGAGTTTATACTTTAATGATGTAAATATACTTCTGTACCTCACATTAAGCTATGGAATGACTTCAGATGACTTTGTCACCCAAACTGACGTGAAAAAAGCGGGAGGCGCCGAAAAGCGCGCTGTTTGCATCCCCTGTCCAAACGTGGCAAAAAACACACCTAAAAGCTGCTGTATACCATTTGGCACTTAAAAAGCACGTCACGACACATAATTCCCCGTCTTCTTTTACTTAAGAATATTTTTGACTTATTTATAAAATGCATAACTGATGCTACAAAAATTAATACTGGCCATTGGGGTGGCCAATGGGGTGGCCAGGAGTCGGCCAGGGGTGGCCATGGCCACCCCTGGCCACCCCCTGGTGGCGCCATTGGGAACAGTGCTAATGAGTTAGATGAGTGACGAGAAAAGCATTTAGCCCTGGATCTCCTTCACCTTCTCTTTTGAATCGTCTAGAAAATTAAGTTTCTAAGGGCCGGTTCACACAGAACACCTTATTGCGGTTAAAAATGCGAGACGCAAGCCAGTGGAATAAAAAACAAAAACAAAACAAAAAAACACTTCTATTCAAATTAATGTTGAACAAACCATTCTCGACTGTCTTCAGAAAAGGGACAGAAACATTTGCACTGAATCACGTGATATTAGCACAAACCAGCAAATCTATGATGATGAAGCAAAAGATCATTCGTTCTTGACTTTGCATATGAAGTGGTTCTGATCACTACCTCAACTGACTAATTATGCATATAATTGAGCTATCGCTAAGCCACGCCCACAAACGCGATGAGCCAATCACAGTGCGCATCTAACCCAATTCACTCGCGCATTCTCTGCTTACACGTCGATTGAAATGTCAGACTGATCTCATGAAGTAGCGTGCGTATGACACGCCAATTCGTATTTCCATTTTCGGCATGCTATCAACATGCATAATCGCTTTTCAGCGTGTTTATGAATGCCGTTGACTTAACGTTATTACTGTATGTATAAATATATGACTTACCTCAACCCTGTCCCTATAAACGTATACCAGTCACTGGGGTTAATGGCATTTATGACTGTTCCCTTACCATCCTAGGAAAGAAAAAGATCGCTCCCCAGATGTAGATGCACATTTTGCTTTGTTTTGCTCGGACATTTGACGGCGTGTACAGACACGCGGAATGACGCGGACGTTAATGGCATAGACATACACGCATACACGCGGATAGCTCAAAATGCGTAGATAACACCCCAGATAGCAAACTGACATTGAATCAACGTGGAAATATGACACCGAAACAACGTTGATCTGACATTGTTTTGCTCATCGAATTAACGTTGAACCAACGTCAGACGCGTCATTCTTTCAAAACTAACGGAAAATCAACTTGAAATCAACGCGTTGTTTCAACGTTATGAAAGCAAACCAATTTTCGATTTTCATTTAGCTTTGAAGAATGCCGCGTCTGACGTTGGTTCAACGTTAATTCGATGAGCAAAATCAACGTTGTTTCAATGTCATGAGAGACGTCGTTTCCACGTTGATTCAATGTCAGTTTGCTATCTGGGACGCCACTTGACTCGAAATTGGCGCGTATGTTTACGCAAAAGTCATGATGTCATGTTGGAAATGTATTGCCGTTAATCAGCTTTCATTCATTTTTTTCTTGTCATTTTAAGTGTAAAATGGTCGAACGGTGTGTATGGGGTACATGCAGCTCTAGGTTCCAGAGAGGCTGGGCGACGGTGTGTGTTTTTGTTACCTTTTCCCAAGCCACATCTCAACTGAGATAAGTGTCTGCTCTGGATTAAGTTAGTCGGTAGACCACAACACCAACTTAACGTAGATAAATTAAACAAGGATGTCTACATCTGTTGTAAGTTAAGCTTAGCTTTAGCTTTAGGCTAACGTTAGCCTAACATTAAAAACATTAACGTTAGCTTCTAGCTGCGTTGTACATCATGTCACTTAGCTTCATTAACGTAACTTGACCGTGCGGCCGAGTGACTGGAGGGGGCGGGGCTTAGCCATTGGTCAATTGGACATAAAAACAATTAATCAGATGCGTTATCAAGTGGTTTATGCACAAACTTGGCAATCTACATGTCATTTACATCCCGGGGTCGTCATGTTAAAATAAAATTGTGAGCCGCGGGTGGCAGGACGCATCAAGATGAGATGTTAGATTATGAAGCATGTTGAGCTTATGGAGGTGTTTATGATTCAGGTATCAGGCCAGATTGTGAAATAATTGATTGTTCTGTTGAGATGCCATGTGCGATGACAGCTGATTGGTCCTCGTATATGCAATTTCATTTCGCCATCTGCCTTGTCAAACCGAGCTAATGAAATTTTAATGATCTTGTGGAAATGTAATGCAAACATGTTGCTGGATGCGACTTATTAATATTAACTGAACGAAAAATGAGGCACACCATCGTTTTCAGACAACAGTTCTTTAATACAAAGTCAACATATCTACATACACAGTGGTTTCAAACCAGTTATTGTGTCCATCAGAAGTAACAGTTTGAAAGCGATAGCACTTGGCCTTTTGTACAAAGAAAACTATTTTCACGTTCGAGTTTGGCTTTTTTTCTTCTTCTTTTGTTGTTGTTGGCCGTGGTATTAATACGTTCACTTTTGAATATTGGTTCTTCATGATTTGCACGCTAATCAATCGGCTCCTGTTGTCGAAAGGTCCAAGGTCCTTTGAGCAAACTTCTGAGCACCTCTGCCGTCGTAGATTAGTCCATCGCGTTTTCCCTCCCGAGGAAAAGTTCGTTAGAAACACACAAAACTCCCAACATTTTAAAAGGCAGCGTTGAAATTTCCAGATCGTACTTCGTCCCTCAACGGAGTAAAAAAACAAATGAAGAAACATGGCATGCATCTGTAAACTTCTAAAGCTTTGTAATGAACTATAACTTTAAATGAAAGATGGAACACAGAGGCAGTGGTGAGAGATAATGCTAGCGATAATGACGTGAAGCTAATCGATTCAAGGCAATTCGCTCTCGCTGTTCAAATGGCATTTTATAGGCACTGGGCATCCGAATCTCACTCAAAATGAGGAAAACACTAAATGATTACTGCTTTAGGCTTAAAACGGGTAAATTTCATTGAGAAATTATATTTTGCTTGGGGAAAGCCAAGTCTATTTTTGAGCAAAGTCTTATTAGCAGTAAGTCTTATTGGTGAAGGAGAAGCGTCGTGATTTCTCTCACCACTGGACCGCAGTGTGTGGAGGCGAAGATAAGAATAAAAAGTGAAGAGTGTGGGGAAAAAATAAATGAACAAATGGATCAGGGGAAAAAAAAAAAGAGGAATGAAGGGAAGAGAGATAAACAGAGCTGTTAGCGTGAGACAAAGCTTCTTTCAAAACTGTGGAAGGTTCCCATTAGCATAAACTCTTTGTTGTAGTTTATCTCAGTACTGTTCAAAGACATACATCTTGTGGGTCAAATTATACAAATACATATAATATATATTTGTTTATTTACAGGCATTATATTTAGGATCATAGTTGATATCTAACAAACGATCGAACATTCGGTGGTTTTAAAAAGTGAAAAAACTAAAGATTCCCAAAAAAAAAAAGAACGCTTTCACAACGATGGGTTGTAACAAAATTAGAGTTTTTTTTTTGTAAAATTTGGAACGTATATTTTTTTGTATTTTTTTTTTTTGTTCAATTGAATATTTAGCAAACCAATTCTACATCTTTTATAAAAGTAATACTTCAGTTAATACTAGTACTATTGATGAATCGAATAACAATAGGATTGAAATCGTAGTCCATCCTTCATTATTGGCCGTCAGGAAGTCAAAGATCTTCTCGCAAAGAACTATTTTAAGAAATAAAAACTAAAATTCATGATTTCATACACGCAATAATTTCATGGTGGTATAAAAATGAGTGCCCACTTCAAAAAAGAAAAAAAGGCTATTCATATGAAGATTTGGATACATCTTTATATTCTGCATTTAAATATATTGTGAGTGTGTATGTATACATTCATGTCCCATTCGTCTATGTATACATGCACACAAACACATCTCACGTAGCATTTCTACAGTGAAAAAATAGAATGTCTTTTAACGTAATATGAGCAAAATGAGCATTATTTTTCTTGCTAATAAAAAAAAAAAAAAATGAGTACGGTATCTTTGTTAAAAAAAACACTAAACCAAGAAATAAATCAAAAGTTTGTTAAGTAAGGAGATAATAGTCATAATAGTCAAAATAATACAACGGTAATGCATTTTCTTTTCCCTATGATGTTACAAGAATAAGGCTTTTTGGAAATAAGATTACACACGGCTCCTTTCATTCTCTCACCAATCAGAACACTCCGAGTTCAGGCATTCTCCAGAACAGCCAATCAGCACTGACTGCGGAGAAGAGACCCCTCCCCCTCATGAGCACGTAAAACAAGTCCCACCTAAAACAACAGATTCACAAGATAGTTGTACCGCAATTTCATGCCCGTTTCTCGTTGTTCGTTAGCCAAAATCCATCGAAGAAAAAATAAACGCAAGTAATCCCAAAGTAACCAGGAATGGGTCGTTTTGATGACTAAATAAAGTTGGGCGACCGTTGGGGCATTAGGAAATGGATTGAGAGGTGGGACCAACACACGTAACCACACTATCGCACACTTCATCCGTTAAATCGGACTCTTCACATGTACACGTACAGCATAATGGAGCGAAAGCAGCATGTTTGGTATCAAGAGCAAAACGAAACCAAAAAAAACATAGTTGTAAGATCAAAAGTTGGTTGAAACGATGGCAATGAACGTTGGTCACTGGAGACGTAGCCACGCATCCCCTATCCGGTGTAACTTGAGACTTCAGTGGTGGTTCCTCTGCCCCTAATCTCCATCTGACCCAATAGTTCAACTCCCATTGGCTCTTAACAAGGAGCTACGTTTCTTGGTAGAAACGTTTTCTAGCGTATCCTTGAATGCACTAAAAAACGGACGTGTTTACGGGATCCGATTAGTTTTCGACCATTTCCTTAAACGCCTCAAGACGTGCTTGTCAGCTCCAGTGGTTTCAAAGGGAGGGTTACTTTCTCAAGTGGATGATCGGTTCGCCTCGAAATTGCTCTAAAGTGGCTCCCAATTTTGTCCGAATGGCAACATGTCACTTGAACCCAAGACGTGAGCAGCAAAATAAGTCTCGTTTGTACCCTTCCTCCAACTTCTCCATTGAATACAGACACCACTGACGTCCGTTTCAGTAAACAAGGATTTCAGATGCCAACCAACCAATTAGGTACTCTCCATCTATCGGTGTCGTTTACTCGTGTACTTTTTGTTCACAGAGTTAGTTTGGAAAGAAACTACGTTTGTCCTCCACATCAGAACACTTGAGGTAAGGTTAGCGGTCCGACGCCGACATCATTCCCACCCTCCAGCCTGAGCCAAAACGTTTGGTTCCTCCATCGTGAGCTTGGGACGTTGAAGTGTTTGGGATCCGTTTGCGCTTCTCCAGTGTGATTGGGGTTTTTCACGATTGGTTCCAAAAGACGATTCGTCGAAAAAAATTGTATGAATTTTTGTATAGTTGTCATCGTTTCATGTTTTCAAGCAAGTTTTTATGGCTCAGGAGGCTGTTGGGGGGAGGGGGATCGTGGGGCGGGGGGGAACAAAAAATGGCTTTTTACGTTGCATAGTGATCAAAACTTCCAAGGTACTCCAGAGCCGCCTGATAGCAAAACTGGTACTCGTCCTGTAGAGGAAAACGCAAAGACGTGAGAACGAACGCTCGCTAGAAATTCAAATCGCCAGCCGTTCGGCGATTAAACAAGGCGATCTGCATGAAAACTGAAGCTTTAGACTCTCACCTCCGTTTGCACCATTGCTGGTCGTTGTGTTCTCAACATTTTGACCGTTTGGAAGATGTCCACCACACCCTCGTAACGCATTCGCTCCAGCACGATGCTTAGCGTGATGAAGACCCCGGTCCGTCCCACACCGGCACTGCGTTGAGGAAAACATGTACAGTTTGGTAATGTATCTGAGAAAAATCGTTTTCATGATCGGAAATATCATTGAAACGAGATGCATTTACTTACAAACATGACTGCGTAACATTTGAATTGTGTTTATTTATTTTTTCAAATTTTCTTATCCTACTATTAATTGATCTTATTTTAGGTGCAAATATGTGTTTTAGCAGACTGCTATTTACACAGACAATTTTTGGTTACACTTTATCTTAAGGTGACGTAGTTACATTAATCTCGGAAACGATTCTGAAGAGAAAACGCAAAAGTGGCGTTGCGTCATCACTTTTATTCTGCGTTTAGACGAGCGTTTTGTGTGGGAAATCCGTGTGCAAAATGGTGACGCAAAAGTGTGTGAAATTCAATGTAGTATGCACTTCAGGCGGCTAGGAGTGCATACTACAACAACACCAAGTCCGCGCGCCTGCGTACGACCTTCACTGTCACGCAGACTTTTGCGTTTTTACCGTTTACACGGGAACGCGGCGGTGGAACGTTTTTAAGAGCGTTTTTGCGTTTTTAAGCCTCAAAAACGCCGTCGCCGTGTAAACGAAAAGCACATCCGATAAAATATTTTTACGTTTTCACCCGCGAGCGTTCTCGTGTAAACAGGGCCTTACTCAAATACTGTAAGTACTGAGCAATATTGATTAATTATGTGTACTTACTATAGAGTTGTGGTTAGGGTTGGGCTTAGGGTTAGTAACTTGTAACTATGCACAATTTACTGTTAGTAACTACGTCACCTTAAGATAAAGCGTTACACTATTTTTTTTAAAATTAATATGTGAAATAGTATGCAGTATTGTTGTCACATGACCTCACTAAATTCCATCCAGTTAAGATATCAGAAATATATATTTTTGTGCTTTTAAAACATAATTGAAGAATAAATTAAATTAATAATGATAAAATAAATACACCATAAATAACAAATAAAAGAATAAATAAACAAATAAATAAGGAAAAATGAAAAAAAAAAAGTACAACAGTGCCAGCAGAAATAAATTTTTGAAACGCTCTAATCATTTTATATTTTAATGATCTATAAATAAACCCAAATAATAAGTAAAAATAATACAATAACCATAATAAATACATAAGTAAAATTTTTTTTTTGTAAAACAGTAACAGCAGAAATAAATATTTTTTTGCACTTTTAATCATTTTATATTTTAATGATCTATAAATAAACCCAAATAATAAGTAAAAATAATACAATAACAATAGTAAATACATAAGTAAAAATGAAAAAAAAAAAAATTTGTAAAACAGTAACAGCAGAAATAAATATTTTTTTGCACTTTCAATCATTTTATATTTTAATGATCTATAAATAAACCCAAATAATAAGAAAAATAATACAATAACAATAATGAATATATAAGTAAAAATGAAAAAAAAAAATATTTGTAAAACAGTAACAGCAGAAATATTTTTTTGCACTTTTAATCATTTTATATTTTAATGATCTATAAATAAACCCAAATAATAAGTAAAAATAATACAATAACAATAATGAATATATAAGTAAAAATGAAAAAAAAAAATTTGTAAAACAGTAACAGCAGAAATAAATATTTTTTTTGCACTTTTAATCATTTTATATTTTAACGATCTATAAATAAACCCCAAATAATAAGTAAAAATAATACAATAACAATAATAAATACATAAGTAAATTTGAAAAAAAAAAAAAAGTAAAATGATCAAATAATAAATAAGGAGAGATTATTATATTTTTTAAAGTATTGTGTCCATTCATTTGTCACACTGTAAGTGCATTGTTTGTGTATATATATATATACACACAGGGCACGCTACATTATTTCAGGAATTCACCTTATCGGCATCTACATAAACAGCAGAGCGCTAGCATAAAGCACAGGCGTTTGGTCTGAACATGCTAAGCCGCTCTCGCGGTGACAGCGCTGGAAATAGGAGGCGTCCTAAGTCTGATTTTTCAAGGCTCCTTCATAAGCTGCTCTGGCACCGAGCGATTTCACCAAGCCAACAATAATTGATATGACAACGGGCTTATTTTTCCCTTTGCCGCCACTTTGCCAAGATTGAAAGTGACAAAAATGGCTTGGAAAAGTGGGGAGGGAGCCAATCACAGCGCAGCGTTTGTGATGACGCAAGAGTTCGGGAATCTAACGAGAAGCCAACAGTGACTGTCAGGAAAACAAAATGCTTTTGACGGTCCTGTCCGTCCGTGATGCCAGAATCCTCCAGAAAGGGGCCAGAAGAAAGAAAGAAGTGCTCTCAGACTTCAGCGAAGCGCTGGTTAAATAGATAGACTTTCAAATCTGACAGGCGTGAAGGAGCAGTGAATGAGAGGATTTACACTTCCATTCAGTGTACGTAATCATGCAATTAATGACAAAACCATGTGGCTCTATTAGATATCAAATCTGGGGGAGAGATGGATGGAGACGAGAGAAATACGGCACTGAAAATTTGATTGATTTGAATTCATTTTAGTGAAACATCCTTTTCAATGCAAAACTGCGTGTGTTTACAACCGTAAGTGTATCCTTCACCTTTTCTACACCGTCAAAAGAAAAGATTTTTCAAAGTTGTAAATAAAAGAAATATTATTGGAGTGTGTTTTCTGAAAATACTATGTCACGTTTAATTCATTGAGTTTGTGTTTGTGAAAAAACGAGATGAGCAGAATCCATCAAAATGCAGTCTTGATATTTTGCTTCTCAAGTAAATATAATAACTCGTTTTAATGATGTTTAGATGTTTTCACTGGAAAACAAGACTGATTTAGAAAGATATTTTTGTTTAGTGATGCAATGCTGATCCAAAAAGGATAAAAAAGACTATGAAATCATGTCTTTGCTGGAGAAGCGGAGGAGAGAGAGAGAGATAAATGGCCAGTGAAGACTCCAGCAGCTCTATAAACACAGATGTGTGTGAGCAGAAACAGGTGTGAGCGATCACTGCGTCTGGAGTGTGTGAGAGAAACAGCAGCGATAGGATCCTCAGACGAGTGAGAGTTACAGCAGAAACAGAGAGTCTGGACAATATCAGTGTAACCCTAATACCATTACATCTGTCGGTCACTGAGGGAAACTAAAATACAGTATTTTATTTACTGTTATTTAAAAAAAATTAGGGCTGTGCAAAAGTTAATTGCGATTAATCGCATCCAAAATAAAAGTCTGTGTTTACATAATATATTTGTGTGTGCTGTATATAATTATTTTGTATATATAAATACACACACATGCATGTATATATTTAAGAATTATTTGCGCTTAAATTCTGTATATATTTATTAATACATAATCTATATTAGATAAATATAAATATTTTATATATGAATAACATATTTTCTTAAATATATACATGCATGTGTGTGTATTTATATATACAAAATAATTATATACAGCACACACAAATATATTACGTTAACACAGACTTTTATTTTGGATGCGATTAATCGCAATTAATTTTTGCACAGCCCTAAAAAAAAAAAATTATTTCTGAATAATTTTATTGGTCAGATGTGACCGTATTTAGGAAAATACGGTATATACATTTTTTTTTTAGTATCGTTAAAATACTATTACAGATTTATAAATATTTTAAATGTTTTTTTTTGGATTTTGTCATTTTTAATACTTTTAAAAAATATTTATGTAGTTTTATTTCAGGTTTACTTTTATATTTTTCATTATATTAAACGTAATGGAAATTTATTTTTAAATTTATATATTTACATTTTATTTCAGTTAAGTATAATTTTGAGTAAATGTTTTTGTTTGTTTAGTCTATAAAAATCTTGTTTAATATATATTTAAATTAGCGCTGTCAAATCGATTAATCGCATCTAACGTGAACGTTTGTGTTTATGTAATATGTATGTGTGCGCGTCTGTGTACACACATATTACATAATCAAACTTTTAATTCATCGATTTGACAGCACTAGTTTACATATATGATACAAATATAGTAGTGCTGTCAATCGATAAAAATATTTAATCACGATTAATCGCATTAAAGTCATAGTTAACTCGCGATTAATCGCACATTTTATCTATTCTAAATGTCTTTTGATTTCTTTTTGTTACATTATTTTAATGCTCTTATCAACATGGAAAAGTGGATCGGCTTGTTTAGTGCAAATGTTTTATTATTATTGAAAATAACATTGGAATAGTGCTCAATTTCACACAAACATATAAATAATCTCTCACACAATGTAACACTGTCTATCAATAAAGGGGTGAAAGAAATACTGAAGAGGTCCTGATATTGACGAGGGGGTGGAGAATTCGCATCATCTGTGTGTGTGTGTTTGCTTGGCCATCATCAAGTGGTGTTTCAGACTGGACGTGCTGCGATGATGATCGCTCAGTTCACAACGACAAAACACACAGATCACTTGGTCTCGTCAATGGGACAATCTGGCAACTTTTTAAAAGTAAACTTTCCATTCAGAATCGTCTCGCGCTCGTCATCCACTCAAAACGTTACGTTACTATTTGGCCGGCTCGCAAGGCGAAACGAGTGTGTGCGGCACAAAACGTCCTCGTGCTGCGCTTTGAAACGCATTCATTTCAATAGCTTGTGCCGCCCGAAGACGTTTTGTTGCTTCTTCGACCAAAGCGCAAACGGATCAAGACCATAAACAAAACAGGCACACCGCAAACACACGTTTCGGCTTGCGAGCCGGTTTTGAGTGGATGACGAGCGCGAGATGCCGAAATGGATCAGGACGCATGCCGCGTCCTGTTGCAAAAGCATGTGAAAAAACGACAAAGTTTGCTAGGACAAAAAGACCGTAAATCGCGCGGAAAAAAAATGAACGCCGTTAAAATGGGTTTGCGTTAACGCCGTTAATAACGCGTTAAACTGACAGCCCTAATATCCCAGACAGCAAACTGACATTGAATCAACGTGGAAACGACGTCTCTCATGACATTGAAACAACGTTGATTTTGCTCATCGAATTAACGTTGAACCAACGTCAGACGCGGCATTCTTCAAAGCTAAATGAAATCGAAAATTGGTTTGCTTTCATAACGTTGAAACAACGCGTTGATTTCAAGTTGATTTTCCGTTAGTTTTGAAAGAATGACGTTGGTTCAACGTTAATTCGATGAGCAAAACAATGTCAGATCAACGTTGTTTCGATGTCATATTTCCACGTTGATTCAATGTCAGTTTGCTATCTGGGATATATATATATATATATATATATATGCTTTGTAATGGAATAACTATAACAATAAATATAGTTCTAAAAATCGTTCTAAATATAAACGAATAGCAGGTCCGCACCACAACAATAACGGCACAGAGAAACATCAATGAAATTAACTCACTTTCAGAACAACTAACGATAAAACAAACATCGACAGCCAATCGGAATCAATCAAGCATTTAAAGCGACAGTCGACAAAACTGCAGCGTGAGCTTAGAATAAAATAAAATGCTAATTGGTTAGAATAAACAATCTATGTGTGAACGAGCTCATTTGCGTGTGTTCTCACCTGCAGTGGACAGAAATGGGCCCGTCCTGGCCAAACTGCTCCTTCGTTTTATGCACCTGACCAATAAAGTCAATGAATCCCTCTCCTGATTTGGGAACGCCTTGCTCCGGCCAATCAGTGAACTGGAACTGGCGTACGGTCCTGGATTGGCCGTCCTGTGAGCGAGAGAACAAACACAGATACGTAAACGTCAAGACGAGTCCGCTGACAGGCACAGCAGATACGGGAGAACATCTCCTCTGCGATCTGAGCCGACTCCACGCGCTCCTGTCGTTTCTTCTCTCGTCTTCGGCTGGAATAACTCTGGGTTAAGGGAAATCGATGGTGTGACGAGCGTCGTCTCGTGGAGACGCTGCTAAACGGAGTGATCGATGGCGCGACTCGAGGTTTGGAGAAACCCAGCGGCTCTGGCACTGACGGATGAGAGGATGAGGCCTGTTCCCCAATCGAAGGGAAGCTTAGGCAGAACGAGGCACAATTAAATGGAAATATTCACTCATCCCTGCAGTGAAGAGAGGCCGACGGATCCCAGTCCCAACTCAATCACAGGCTTTGTGGATCACACATGCATTACGGAGCACTTCCTCTACATTTCTATTTCCTAGGCTGGGCGTTTTTTTATTTCGCTTTCACAGGTTTCGATTAATCCAACGAATTTCACTTTCGTTCATTAAAACACCCGCCGATTATCAAACGAGTCAACCAAAATCATGGCTCTTCGAAACGATTGATATGCTTGCTTCCAGAACAAATGCTTAACTCTTGTGCATCAATTAAAAAAGTTACACATAGGTAAAAAGAGGACAACAATGTCCATGTCAAAAAACTGGACTCTTTGGAGCACAGACTTAAGTTTGGTATCATTTTAAAGAAGACCCGTTGCAGATTATTGCTGAAGTAAAAAAAAAAAATAATGCGTAAATCCCCAAAAAAAGTTATATAGGTATAGGTTTATGAAAATTATTTATAAAAAATATTTTATAAAAATATATATATATATATATTTTAGAAATCAGGTTGAACTCAAAACTGCAATAAAATCAAAGCCATAAATCTAAATAGGTTGTGTCCCAAATTTGAGGATGATATCTAAAAAAATGAGCTTTCGGTAACAGTTTGTTTGGGCGTAGTAACATATTTTCCCCATTGGGTCCCAGCAAAACCCCACTGGAGACTCTGACATCCATACCAACACACCCACACAAATATCGTTGCATAATTTATCCAGTTGGCTCTATAATATGCCGAACCAGAAAACAGAGATAAAGCAATATTTGTTTTATAGGCCAAACTTAAAAAAAAAAATGGCACGATCTGATAAAAAAAAATAGTAAAACATAAAATTTTGAAGCCTTGCAATCAGAATAAAAGCCTCTTAACAAAGATTGCATAATTTTATAGTTAACTGAACCGGGATTAAAAATGGCAGTTTTAATGGGGGCATTTTTGTCCAAAAGGTGCTGAGAGGGAGTATTTTTTTGTACCTAATGCAAAAAATATTTTTTTAAGAAAATGACTGTGAAATAGTAAAATTCCAATAAAAATACACACCTGTGCCAAGTTTTTTTTGCAGTTAGCTTTAACACAGGCAAAGTGATCAAAAAAACAAAACTGAAAAGGACAAAAATGTCCATAAGGATGCACAAGGGTTAAACATCAATATACAGTCAAACCAAAAATTTCAGACACCAGATAATCGGTTGCTGATCGAGTCATTCTTCTTTCTCTTCTGATCAATTGAAACAAGCAGTTTGTTTTTGCTGCAAAACACGAAGGGTGAAAGAGAACGAGGCGGAAAAGAGGCTTCACACAACCTACAGGGCGAGCGGTTTGATTAAAGACGTGCATCCTCCCATCATGCCTCAGTCCAGGCCCCACCTCCACCAGTCGGCTCTGATTAAAGTTCTCATTGATTCGGTGGGCTGATTACTGGAGAGTCTGTCTGGATGATTCAATCACAATTAAAGTGCTTGGCTGGAGTGAGCGACGCTCGGGATGCTCGTTTGCCCGTACGGTGACAGTCAGAGTGTTTGGCTTTAGCGGTTTTCTGGAAAGACACTCGACTGATGAGGGCTCTAGTCGTTCGGTGAGAGCTTCTGATAACGGTCAGCTCTGAGACTCATAAAAAGCTCAATTACAATATGTCTTTTTCTCCTAAAACACTTCGTGATCTGTGTAATCGTTAAAAATGCAACAATTATTTCAGACTATAGATCAAATACCATGATTTACCATGTTTTTTTTTTACACATACATCCCACATTCTTTGCCCTTATCACATAAATACCATGATATTACCAAGTTTTGCCCATGATAATCGTTGTTGTAGCTTGGATGGTACCGTTGAATGTAGTAATATTTCCAACCGCAATGTCAATATGCCATGTTATTTAGATTATTTCAAACATGGTACCGCGTTAATACTGTGGGTTTTTTTTTTGGACATGTACCAGTCTTTACAAAAATACTATATGGGTACCATGGCAGAGAGATGGTAATACTATTGCTTTGACATATAAAATGGTAGTGAAATCTATGGAAAATGGCCAAAATTATGGAAGCTTGTTTTCACCACTGAATAAAAACAGATAATAATAATTGCGACTTTTTATCTCACAATTGCGAGATATGAAGTCAGAATTGTGAGAAATAAAGTCGTAATTGCGAGATATAAATATCTTGCATTTCTGACTTTTAAACACGCAATTCTGACTTTATATCTCGCAATTCTGTGTTTATATCACACAATTCTGACTTTATAATTCGTAATTGCGACTTTATATTTCGCAATTCTGACTTTATATCTTGTAATTCTGACTTTATATCTCACAATTCTGACTTTATATCTCTCAATTCTGACTTTATATCACAATTCTGACTTTATATCTTGTAATTCTGACTTTACATTTCGCAATTCTGACTTTATAACTCGCAATTCTGACTTTATATCTCGCAATTCTGACTTTATATCTTGTAATTCTGACTTTATATCTCGCAATTCTGACTTTATATCTCACAATTCTGACTTTATATCTCACAATTCTGACTTTATATCACACAATTCTGACTTTATATCTCTCAATTCTGACTTTATATCACACAATTCTGACTTTATATCTCGCAATTCTGACTTTATATCTCACAATTCTGACTTTATATCTCACAATTCTGACTTTATATCACACAATTCTGACTATATAACTCGCAATTGCGACTTTATATCTCGCAATTCTGACTTTATATCTCACAATTCTGACTTTATATCTCTCAATTCTGACTTTATATCACACAATTCTGACTTTATATCTCTCAATTCTGACTTTATATCTCGCAATTCTGACTTTATATCTCACAATTCTGACTTTATATCTCACAATTCTGACTTTATATCTCACAATTCTGACTTTATATCTCACAATTCTGACTTTATATCACACAATTCTGACTTTATATCTCACAATTCTGACTTTATATCTCGCAATTCTGACTTTATATCTCACAATTCTGACTTTATATCTCTCAATTCTGACTTTATATCACACAATTCTGACTTTATATCTCACAATTCTGACTTTATATTTCGCAATTCTGACTTTACATTTCGCAATTCTGACTTTATATCTCGCAATTCTGACTTTATATCACACAATTCTGACTTTATATCTCACAATTCTGAGAAATAAAGTCAGAATTGCAAGATGTAAACTTGCAATTGTGAGAAAAAAAGTCAGAATTGTGAGATAAAAAGTTGCAATTAACTTTTTTATTTTTCATTCTGTGGTGGAAACAAGCTTCCATGGTATTCGCTGAAACTTTTGTTGTAGGATCTACTTTGAAACAATTTTCACCGAGAAATTGAATTATAGAATTATAAAGAAATAGCAAATCACATTAAATTTTGAATTAGACAGATTTTCAACATAAAATAATAATTGTTTACCAAGTGAATAGCTTTCGTAAGCTGTATGAACATTCAGTTCTAGAGGACTCACCCGGGCATCCGTCACTTTAAACTCTCTGAGGATGTACTGTGGCATGTTGTACTCCGCCATTGGATCCACCACAAAGTACTGATATCTAGCCGAGCGCTCCGCCGGCCAGTACTGGTGACACTTTTCCTGCGAAAACACGTCAAAGCACAATTAAAGTCCATCATCCGGAAGCCAAAAGCCACTGGTCTTGAAGAAGAGCAACACTCACTCGGCCCATCTCCCTCAGTTTGGTCAGCATCACCACAATGGTGGAGTTGTTCTCCCACAACATCCTCCAGAAGTCCTCTGTGGTCTCCGCTAATGGGCCCTGTGTGGCTATATACGCCTTCTGTTGTCTACAGGAAAGACAAAGTCAATCCCAACCAATCAAAGGCAGCAGGATTGGCAAAACAAACGACTTCACTGTCGGCGTACCTGTATCCGTCGATAAAGCTGGAGTTGATATAGTCAGACCCTTCCAGCCCTCTGATTGGCTGCAGGCACACTCGAGTCGTCTCGTACGGCATGATGTTGACCAGGCGGTTTTTAAATTTGTTGCATGGCAGATTGGCACTTATGAATCTGGATGTGTGGGCTTTGGAGTTCGCCAAACGCTGTGGGAAGAGAAAAACACAAACATGAGGATTAAATTGAGCCAATTTCCAACCCAGAAGGGCATGACTAGCTTCATGGGAATCTCAGACACTCATTTAACCAATGGCTAATGGCTCTGTTTTTTCCCACTCCACCTGTTTGTCTGGGCAAGACTGGATGACCCAGTTTGCAGGAACCCGCCATCGCTCGATTCTGTTAAAATTAACAAAAAAAGTGTTTTTCGTCCATCAGGTGCCCCCAAAAACTGGAAACTCAGGCCAAACTTTGGTGACAATCGGCGAAATGGGTCACTGTCACTTTTAGGATGCCGTTCAACATTGTGACAGCAGGACACCACCGTTTTGTACGCACACATTCACCTCGTACTCTCATGTCATGATCCAAATTAGAGCTTGTAACCATCAATTAGCATCAACCAGGCCACAGTACCCGCACTTCTCCTCCGTTTCTGGGTCAGTTGTCTGGAAGTATTGTCTCCTTTTAACCGGACGAGAAACGGTGCCTTGCTCTCGCTCGCTCTCTCTCTCTCTCTCTCTCTCTCCTCTGTTCTGCCAGGTAATGCCTTTGCCCCGATATAAATCCATTCAGCTCCAGCTCCAGGCCTAGTCTTTCTCTCTTTCTTTCAGAAGCGGCCACTGGCTGTTTGTCTTTCCTTTGAGTCTTTGAGTAGCTTTCAAAGAGGGACCTGGAAGGGCATGAGGCATTCCGGTGGGAAGCGGCAGCCATGAACCAAGCTCTTGAAATAATAAGCACGCACACACACACACACACACTTTAGCTGGCTGGTTTAGCGGTCCGCGTCGAGTTTAAAAGTGGTTTGTGATATGGTTAGCCCAATTACTCAGGCGCCTTATTAACACTTACATAAAATCATCTCTCATACTGCCGTTGGGAAATATTCGATTCCTGTTGAGTCCTCTCCTTCCACGTAAATAGGATAATAAATATCTTTTCAATTATGTCATATTTACGTACAAATGGTCAAATTAACCTATCCTCAGTCTGTTTTTTAGCTAGCTTGCTAGCTAACTAGTTACTTGGTTAGTGTGCCATCTCATCATACCTCTAGCCGATTAGCCTGTTAGCTTAGCATGCCACTATTTGATTTTCTGGCTAGAAATGCATACCACTACCCAATTATCTCGCCACTTCGATGTTCACAAGGATTTATGTGAGGAACTGATTCTAATTAATTGGAAAACCAATTCAGACCTTTTACTAAGCACTTTGACGATACCTTTACAAAGAACTCATTCATTGACAAATTGACATCGCTAATTGAGATTTAGGCCCCGTTTACACAATGGAAAAACACAGGTATTTCTCTGCGTTTTGCCCTCTCATTTACACGAAAACGACGTTTTTATCACTGAAAACGATTATTTCTAAAAACTAAAGTGGAGATTTCTGAAAACGCCGATTTTGTGTTGCCGTGTAAACTGGGAGAAACGGCGCTTTAGGTTCTCTCTAGTCGATTCCAGGATTCTGATTGGCTCGCATGGCTTTATCCTTAACCCCTACACTGCCGCCAATAGGTTTGGCATAGTTATGATGGCGCTCGGCGGCGTATTTATGCGGGTGTGTAAACGATGTTATTTTCGAAAACGGAGAGGGGGAAAATATTCGTTTCGCTAAATACCCGGCTTTGTGTAAACGTGGCCTTAGCTGACAGAAAACATAAGGCTATACTACTGAAAGTTTAGATAATTTTCAAAAATGGCAATGGTACATTGATAGTGAGACCCGTTGCTCAACTAATTGCTTTGCAACCCCGTTACATAGGAGCTGGTGAGCATTACTTTGTTCCAGGCTAAAGAAAGAGACACAGATTGAGTGACAAAGCCAGAAAGAGAGGAAAAAAACAGGAAAGAAGGAGAAGCTTTTCAAGGTCTTAGAGGCCAGAAACCTGCAGGAGTGTTTAAGTTGCCAAATGGATCCCACAATCCCTGTCTGCTAATTAGCGAAGGCATCCGCTTCTCCTTCATCGGGTGTTAATTACCCTTCCCAGAATCCCTCTCTGGCTGTCTTCAACTCAGCGACAACTTTCAGTCGACTCTGTCACAACTACAGCTTGATTTTCACATCTGCATCCTCGGAAAACAAACACATGCCCCCGAGAGAGACAGAATGTTATTAACTATCCGATGTGGCACTCTCGATTATCTTGATCAACACCTTCCAGAGCATCTCGTCTGATGAGTTGCAATTAGAGGCGAGGACTACTTTTGCTTGGCTAGTCGCACAAAATAAGACTCTATCTTTGGCGTTCCCTAATTGCAATGTCTTCTGGTTACCTTAAACTCCAGTTCCATGCCGCTGACGTGCTCTCCGACCTCCACCTGCGCCAGCTTCTGGATGTAGGAGAAGAGGCTTCGTGCCGCCACCTCCGTGTTCCCGCAGGCGACGGCCTCCAGAAGGGCATCGTGGATGAAGCTGTACTGGTCTTCCGTCTGTACCATGTAATTCCTCTGGGAGCGCATGAGGGTCACATGACCATAGATGTCTACCGTCTTCTCGTGCTTGATGCGTTCTAGCATAGCGTCGATCACGATGAAGCAGCCTGTGCGGCCCACACCAGCACTGTAAACACATGTTGTATAAATCAGGGATCAAAGAAAGTTGCAGGCTTCCCTTTCCAATGGGAACTCGCAATGTGTCCCCTAGAGGACACTATGGGGAATGCACAGTGTCCTCTAGGGGCCAAGGTGCCTCATTCCCTTTCTTAGGGAACCATGGTTACATGAGAAACCTGAGACGTTTTCATAGGAGAACATCTAGTTTATGAACTTAGCTCTAGACCTAAAGTTTCCGGCATCAGGAGCCTTGAGAAGTAGGAACAGGGTTCAGACCTGCAGTGGGCAATGATGGGACCGGCGTCCGGTGGATTGCAGGTTTTCACCCTCCTGAGGAAGGCCAGGAACGGAGTGGGGTACTCGGGAACGCCGTGGTCCGGCCAGGCGGTGAACTGGAACTGTCGAACCTCTCGCTTTTCGCTAGAACCATTCTGAAACGAGAGCAAGTCCTATAGGTTATATAGTGATACATCTAGTCCTAGTTCTAGTAATGCATGATTTACATTTAGCTGACGCTTTTATTATTTAATTGCTATATATGACAGAGTTCGCACGCCTCTGGAGCAACTAGGGGTTAAGTGTCTTGCTCAGGAGTACATTGGTGTCTCACATACCCCTTTTCCGCCCAAAAAGAACTGGTTCGGAACTGGTGCTGGTTCAAAGTTGGTTCAACTTGCGAACCCATTCAGAACCTGTTTGTTTTTCCACTGACTAGAGCGCCCAGGGAATGACGCCGTTACGTCACTGTGTACGTCGCTAGAAACGCTTGCAAGTACATTACTTTGTGATTATCTCTAACTCGTGTACCAAGAAGGCTTTAAAAAGTCTTTTCATCTTTTCATTTTTGATATGTAATCTTTTCTGATAAGTTATGTACCCCTGTCTTGTGTCTTTTTTTTCCATTTATTTGTTCTATATCGTGACTGTTTTCTTTGCTTATGTTTCAAATAAAAAATAAAAACGCTTGCGCCAATTTCAAACTTAACAACAAAGGCGGACTCCATCGTGTTTCTGCAAATGTTTCTCCTGGCTTTGCAATCCTTTATTATGGTCAGAAAAGATGTTTAGAGCACATCTAAACCCGGCCCAGCCCCCGACGCGGTAAAAGAACGGTTCTAGTCCAGCAAAGAGTTGGTGCCGCTTTGGAACCAGTTTTCCCGGCCGAGAACCGGTTCTTTGGCTGTCGAAACACAAAGAACTGGTTCGCGCGCAGGCACCGGCTCCGAACCGGCTCTCAAAATGCTTTGGTGGAAAAGGGGCTACAGTGAATTCGAATTCGAATCCGTGTCTCTCACACCAAAGGCATGTGTCCTATCCACTCCGCCATCACCACCCCATGATTTAATTGTGTTAGCACCTCACAAGCCATGCTAGATTGACATGAGAGTTCTAGCCCCACCGAAATGTCTTCTAAATTGTATTTCGACACGGGCGAGAGAGCCAGGAACATGTCTGCCGCATAGGACATTTCGGCAAGAAGCGGGAGAGACATCAGTGTCCTGCTAGTTCCACTGCTAGCATTTCTGGGCATCTTTAAAGGGAGGTTTTGCATTTCAATGTCGCTGCTGTTTCAACAGAGGCTCCCTTTGAATAAATGAATAAATAAACGATGTAATTAAGAGCAAACTGGCCCAGTTTTGCCGGATACTTTTCCCCCCCGGCTGTCGTCTGCAGGCTGTGTTTCTCCGCAGTGGATGGGCTTGTGCAGGATTGTTTTTAAGAATTCATGACTCTGGTTTTACTGTATGTGCGACTGCAGGATATGCACACACATAAATAAACCTCAGTGTTCCAGCGAGTGTGTGTGTGTGTGTGTGTAAGGGTTTTAAGCAAACTCTGACTATTCAGCCATGCAATGGTGCAACAAAAACATCTGTATTCGAAGATGTCCCACTGCCATACGACTAAATAAGCCATTATGTTTAATCTAAACCGTCCAAGAAGACAGTTTAATTGCTTATGCATAGCTCAGGAGATCTCTTGAGATCTTTACTGAAACTAGCGGATTATTCTTTCGGGGACAAATCAGGGAATATCCAATTACTGTCCGTGCTGTCTAGGAGAATCAATTGAGATATTGAAGAGATCTCATTTCTCTTTGCAGTGGGTTTAAAGCGAAAGCTTAATCCCGTAACCATGAGCACACTCTTCATGCTCTCTACAGCAGTCTCTCTTTAATCAATGCTTCGGCTCGTGTCTTATGGGCGCCCTTCACTACAGTAAAAGCTCAATCCATTTTAATTCACATTACGGTCTGACCGTGCAACTGGCTGACCCCGCTCTATTCCCTTCCAACCACTTCATGTTTACTTGACCGCTGTGCCGTCTGGGATGCCAATTTTGCAAGGAGTCGTTTTGCTCTGGCCACTTAGCTAAGTGCCTCTCTTTGGCAGGCGTAACATTAAAAGATGATGGATGTGGAACGAGGAGATTATAAAAAGATGTGCGTGTGTTGGTGCACGCAGTGGAGATGAGAACCCGGCGAGGGTTACGGAACAAATGTCTCGTTCGCCGCAACCGTTTGCAATTATCCTGGTTGCGTGCGTCTGTGGGGGTCCTAAGGCGAAACAGTGTAATGTGTCTGCTCCGACGTCCAGAGGGAAATAACAGGCCCATGCACAACGTAAAACAGCCAAAGAAAAGTGTTCCTGGAGCAGGGAGCGCACTTATCTTTCGTGTAGACCAAGTCCCTCAGAGACACCTGCCCAAATGTTTCCTGAAGAACTTGATTAGTTTCATTAGGGTTGGAGCTACTGGAGCCCTGCAGTACACAGTGTGCTTGGCTGTGTTCTTTGATATGAGATCATGTTACACAGCTGGACACAAAAAGTCTTACCTTGTGTAGGGAGAAGGTGCGCACGCAGAAGGTGGCGAGTTCGATGGTGTCCAAGAGCGTCACCTGAATCATACCGTAGGTCTCCGTCCCTCTACTCGGCCAGTACTGGTCGCACTTTATCTGCAGAGGGTGAGGGAACGTTAGCATATCTGATGTCATTCAGGGGGCGTTTCCCGAAAGCATCATGGTCGCAATTTCCATTGAACTCTATTGGTAACGACGGAACTTGCGACCATAGTTGGCTAACGGTGCTTTTGGGAAATGCAACCCAGATTGGTTTTTCTGTCTTTATTGGATGTCTTTGGCTCTCATTTACCTATTTCTATGCAAATTTCAGTGTGCTGAGGAATTACGGTGCTCATCGATCCAGCTCATCTTTTTTTGGACAAATAATCATAAGGGAGTCAAAATAAAGACTTTTCCAAGAACATTTTGATTCTTAAAGTGAGAAGTAACTGTGCGTTCACACCGGACGCGAATAGCGCATCAAATTTGCGTCTACCGCGTCTAGTTTGACTCTTGACCACTTTGTGTTAATTCTCGCGTCAAGAGTGAAACTCTTTTTTCATGCGGCACGAATTGACGCCAAAGTTACGATTTTTCAACTCGCGAATTCGCGTCAAACGCGTGAGTGCACAAATAGCACTAACTAAATCATTCGCGCGTAACACGTTTGACGTGCCAGACGCTCGATTTGCACCATTCGCGCGGTGTATTCGCGTCTGCCGCACTCTATGCATAAGTTGCACCGCAGGAATTTTTTTACGCGCGAGTCTTCTGCATTGACTTAACATTGAAATCATTTGCGCCTGACGCGCTATTCACATACGGTGTAAACGCACCATAAAGGAGTCAAAAAAAGCCTTTTCCAAGGACATTTTGATTCTTAAAATGAGAAGTAACTGTGTGTTCACACCGGACGCGAATAGCGCTTCAAATTTGCGTCTACCGCGTCTAGTTTGACTCTTGACCACTTTGTGTTAATTCTCGCGTCAAGAGTGAAACTTTTTTTTACTTTGGCGCGAATTGATGCCAAAGTTCTGATTTTTCAACTCGGCAGGCGCGAATTCGCGTCAAACGCGTGAGTGCACAAATAGCACTGATTAAATAATTCGCGCGCAACACTTTTGATGTGCCAGACGCTCAATTTGCACCATTCGCGCGGTGTATTCGCGTCTACCGCGCGCCCATGCCTCATTTGCGCCGCAGGAATTTTTTTTACGTCTTCTGCATTGACTTAACATTGAAATCATTTGCGCCTGACGCGCTATTCGCGTACGGTGTAAACGCACCATAAGGGAGTCAAAAAAAAGCCTTTTTCAAGGACATTTTGATTCTTAAAATGAGAAGTAAGACTTCACTCCTGCAATCACAAACCCTTCTCTCCTGCACATGTCAGATCAATTACCTTGGCATAATGTTTTCCTTCCCCACTCTGACCCCTGACCCCTGGCCTGCCACAGCCCAAATAAAGACTCGCTCAATACGGAGCATGGCAAGCAGTCAGGCCGCCCCTGTGCCCTGATGCGATGTGACAGCCCACTGCTTAAAAAATGCGCAGGTTTAATGCGTTCTTTGCGCTTATGCTGCAGATTGAATGGCTCACTGTGATCGCATCTGACAGAGCTCTAATACACCATGTGGCGCCCGCTAAGATGGTGAGAGAGAGCAAGAGGCGGTGTCCCGAGATACTGACTGAGTTTGCTGAGCCTGACAGTCTAGGGCGTGACGGAATCGTCTTCAATGAACTTCTGGACGTCACGGCTGAGGAAGTCTTCAAGTCTTCTCTCTCTTTGATAGAGCCGAGAGATGATTCCCAGGTTGTTATCGGAGAGCCTATGTCTTAATTTTCATCCTTTTTTGCTCATCCATTCAACCGGCAATGGCATTTCAACTGGAATAATGTCAATTTGTTCAGTATGAAGCTCAGTCTTTTTAACAAGGGTAAAAGAGACGGCCTATTAGCTCTCTTCCGCAATCTAGTGAGCTGCATAGCTAGACGGTATTTGAAGGAATCACCAGCACGCTCCGTATGCAAAGGTTATGTAACGCGTTGTGTCAGGAGGAAAAATAGGGATAGCTCACAGCTGAATTTACTGCAGAGGACTCAAGAAGGCGACTTGCACTTTATTAAAACAAATAATGGACTTCAATGGGAACCAAACGGTCCAAAAGACAGTTTCAGTGCAAACTGTTCAAAGGGCTTTAAACGATTCCAGGCGATGAATAAGGGTCTTATCAAGCGAAACGATCGCTCATTTAATAAATAAATAACAAAGTTTAAGTTTTATAAGCTCAAATGCTCGCCTTGCTCTGTTCTGTGATGCGCGTTCGTGACTCTCCTGTTCGAACTCGTTCATCAAAATAAACGAATCTTTTTTCGTGTCATTTGGTTCATTCAACGAACGAAATGAACGAGTTGACTGTGGAAAAGATTCGTTCATTTTGATGAACGACTTCGAACAGGAGAGTCACGAACGTGCATCACAGAACTTTTACGCGCATTATAAAACTTAAACTTTGTTATTTATTTATTAAATGAGTGATCGTTTCGCTTGATAAGACCCTTATTCATCATCTGGAATCGTTTAAAGCCCTTTGAAACTGTCTTTTGGACCTTGAACCGTTTGGTTCCCAATGAAGTCCATTATATGGAGAAAAATCCTGGAATGTTTTCATCAAAAACCTTAATTTCTTTTCGACTGAAGAAAGAATGAGTCTCCTTTAAGTCTGTTTTTTGACTAGCCTCACCCGTGACTTCTCCTCCAGTCTGGTCATCATGACCACGGTGGCGGCTCGTTGCTCCCACACCATCCTCCAGAAGTCTCCGAAGGTCTCCGGCAGCGGCCCCTGCGTGGCTATGTATGCATTCTGCTTCCTGTATCCGTCGATGTAGTTAGCATTGATGTAGTCGCTGCCTGTGATACCTTGAAACGAAGCATGAAGGTTGGTAACTGTGAAAGCTAGACACGTTCACTTTAAAAGGGACGCATCATAAAGAAGCAGGATTTTGATTGGTGTAACACAAATATTAGACTGTAACATATGACCGATCAGATCTGATTTCACATGCAAAAGCGATGTCTTAAAGGATTAGTTCACTTTTGAAAAAACTTTTGCTGATAATTTACTCACCCCCATGTCATCCAAGATGTCCACGTCTTTCTTTCTTCAGTCGAAAAGAAATTAAGGTTTTTGATGAAAACATTCCAGGATTTTTCTCCATATAATGGACTTCAATGGGAACCGGATGGTTCAAGGTCCAAAAGACAGTTAATAACAGTTTCAGATGCAGCTTCAAATGTCTTTAAACGACACCAGACGATGAATAAGGGTCTTATCATGCGAAACGATCGGTTATTTCAAAACTTATTCCAAAAATGTAACTTTTCTAAGGACAAATGCTAGCCTTGCTCTATTCTGTGAGGCGCGTTTGCAACGTCACGTAATACGTAATTACGTTCAAAAGGTCACGGGCGACGTAGCCGAAAGTACAGAGTCAGTGTTTACAAGTTGAACGCATAGGTTGAACGTGCAAACTAACTCAAACGGCGTTTACAAAAAAGGAATTAAAAGGTAAAACAACGATGTCGGACGATTTTGATTCTGTACTTCCGGCTACGTCGCCCGTGACCTTTTGAACGCAATTACGTATTACGTGACGTTACAAACGCGCCTCAGAGAATATAGCAAGGCTAGCATTTGTCCTTAGAAAAGTTACATTTTTGGAATAAGTTTTGAAATAACCGATCGTTTCGCATGATAAGACCCTTATTCATCGTCTGGTGTCGTTTAAAGACATTTGAAGCTGCATCTGAAACTGTTATTAACACCATCTTTTGGACCTTGAACCATCCGGTTCCCATTGAAGTCCATTGTATGGAGAAAATCCTGGAATGTTTTCATCAAAAACCTAAATTTCTTTTTGACTGAGGAAAGAAAGACATGGACATCTTGGATGACATGGGGGCGAGTAAATCATCAGCAAAAGTTTTTTCAAAAGTGAACTAATCCTTTAAGAACACTGGAATAACCTTATGTGCTGACTTTAAAAGTGTGGTTTAATAGCCGTTTCTCGACAGTTCCAAAATGGCCGACAATGTTGCTGTGTGAGTCTCCTAACTGGTGAAAAACTTGCGACTCCACTAACGTGATATACAGTCACAGTCTGGTTAGAGGCTATTGCAGAGCTTGTGACAGATATCCATCATAGAAAATAATCCCCATGAAAGAAAAGCCATTGAGCCCCTTCACTGCCTTTTCTCACTTCCTTCCAGCTTTTTCAGCCCTTTCTAGCTCTCCGAGGGCCGGCCAACGGCTTCCACTGCAGCTGATTTAGGACCAGATGCTATACGATGGAATTAGGCTGGACTAGGACTAAATCAGCGAGCACAACCCACGCCGGACCCTGACTCGCTCTCTTTCTGCCATCGCTCTGGGCGGCCCGCAGTAAATCTCCCATAAAGCAGCCAAACATTCTCCCGTCTAAGCTCAGGATTGGTGAGGCGGCGGGAATAAAGGTAAAGCCCTTGTGTGCTACTGCTAGAGGTAACAATCTTATGGTCTAGATCTTTACCATACAGGTTTTTTTTCTCTCCATTAGGTCACTTGATGGAGTCTTTCGGTTCCTTGCTCAGTTGGGGATACTCAAATTAATTAACCAATTAGCTCTACCAAACGTGGATGTTTTTCCTCTAAGAAATGAACATTGTTATTATGTTTTGATTGATACCTTGAAGCTGCTTTGATGCAATCTATATTGTGAAAAGCGCTGTATAAATATACTTGACTTGCCCTCTCAAAACTGCATGTGGCCTTGGCCCTCAAAATTGGGATCTTATAAAATAAAGCTGGAAATAGGCTCATTTTACAACTCCCCCAGAGTTAAACTGTTGGGTTTTACCATTTTCGAATACATTCAACGGATTTTCTGATATTTAGATGAAACCGGACAGTTTCTGGTGCCATTGACTTCCATAGTAGGAAAAAATGTATACTATGGAAGTCAATGGGACCAGAAATTGTCTGGTTACTGATATTCTTCTAGATATCAGAAAATCGGCTGAATGGATTGGAAAACGGTAAAACCCAATGGGGGAGCCTGTTTCCAAAAAAAGTGGAGTATCCCTTTAATGACTATAAACAAACACAGCCCCAAAGATCAGCCTTTGGGAAATAAGTTAATGTCTACAGAGCCAAAATACAATAGAAGTTTTCAGATTTTGCTTCCGTAGTATATACGTTTACCAACTATGGAAGTCAACGGGACCAGAAACTGATTACTGATATTCTTCTAAATATCAGAAAATTGGCCGAATGGATTGGAAATTGGTAAAACCCAACTGTTTAACTTTGGGGGAGTTAAAGTGGAGTATCAAGTATCAAGTCTTGGTTTTAGAACCAACATGCAGTTCTCATAATCATCGATTTAACAAGCAAATGTAAATATTTATATGATTTGATGTCATTTATGTTTGTGGGGGATATTAATAGAAGAAACTCAACACTTAAGGTTTGGGGTTTGTTCAAATCCTCAGTAATTCCATCAGTTCTCTGAAACAAGTCACTTGTAATTACACTCGGGGTCCGCACTCGCTTCAGACCTCTGGCAAATAACCTACAAGAGGCATATTTAATTGTACAGTTTATCCAACACAAAAGCTTCAATCACAAACACAGGCCCACGGTGCTAAATTGTTGTTTTCGTGCTTTAACAACGAACAATGAAACACTTGGCTGTGCTCATTTTCTAGCCCCCGCTACGACGGCGAAAAAGACAAAATTAGCAATCGGGGGGAAAAAAGAATGCCATTAAAAGCCTCTTCCCCCGTCTCACAAAGCGATCGCGGGAGTGTTTGGCTTTAGTCATAGCTAAGTGAACAGAGCACGGCTGCCTGCACGAATTGTTCCACCGCTGTGTCTAATGGCGAAATCACTGCACTGTAAAATGGAAATTTCGAACCTGATTAATTTATGCATTTACGCGCGCTGTCTTTGTGATGATTCTGTTACGCTGCGTTATTGCTCATCTAAATTGGGTCTTGGTGAACTGTGGCAAAAATCAAGGTGACGCGACGACGAGCGAGGGAACCCCGGGGAAAAATGTCTGAGAGAGCGTCGACAGTCGCCTCATGACGGGAACGTTTACAGTGAGGTTTTCTGTTGACAGCTTCTACACCCCAACTGAAGGGATAACACCATTTGCCTGCTGGTGTAATTTTGACTGCTTGTGAATTATCTGACTCCTGTTTCTTTGGTGTGTGTGAGCGGACAATAAAATCGTGTGGGAAGAAGAGAAAATAAATTGATTTATACGGATAAAAACGTATAATGAAGACATAAAAATGGATGGCGATTCTCCCATTTGCTAGATCAGCTTCTTCTGAAAGACTTTAGGATACATTTCTCTAAACTGCTTTTCTTGTGTGAAGCCAGACAAATCTGTGGGGGCAGTCATTCTTAAACCTTAAAGGACAACTCCGGCGCAAAATGAACCTTTGGTCTAATTACACATTGTTACCTAGTCAACCGTTATCTGAGATTTGTTTTTTATGATTGCCGAATGTAAATAGTTTTATCTCTATAAACAGTTTAGCCTATAACGCTAGTATATAGGGCATAGAGTAATGACAAATAAAAATCGCTTGTTATTACCACTAACAAGGCTCAAAATAGCCCCACACTAACACGACAGCATAACAAGGGTCCCTACATTCAAACCGAAGCATTGAGAACTTTGTCAGTGTCCAAACAGTTTAATAAGCAGATGTTTTATACACACAGTCAACTTCGAGAATTCAGGAAGAAGCCATCTTGGAAAAATAGTCTCTACCAGTCGATCTACGAACGCCGATCCAAGTGCGCTGGTGAGATATAAATAAGGTGATACGGTGAGCGCGAACAGTAGTCTACGTGTACATATTGAAGAGAAGAAAACGGTTTGTGTTTGTGTTTCTTTCGGAGTTAACGGACCATATGAGATTCTGCACAGTTCAGCGCACTTGGATCGGCGTTCGTAGATCGACTGGTAGAGACTGTTTTTCAAAGATGGCTTCTTCCTGTATTCGCGAAATTGTCTGTGTGTATAAAATATCTTCTTATTAAACTGTATGGACACTGACAAAGTCCTCAATGCTTCGGTTTGAATGTAGGGACTCTTATTATGCTGTCGTGTTAGTGTGGGGCTATTTTGAGCCTTGTTAGTGGTAATAACAAGCGATTTTTATTTGTCATTACTCTATGCCCTATATACTAGCGTTATAGGCTAAATTGTTTTTAGAGATAAAACTATTTACAATCGGCAATCATGAAAACAAATCTCAGATAACGGTTGACTAGGTAACAATGTGTAATTAGACCAAAGGTTCATTTTGCGCCGGAGTTCTCCTTTAAGGAGACGGATTTCTTTTCTAAAAATCTGTGTGTGTGTGTGTGTGTGCAGTTGTGCCCGACCTTCGATGGGTGCCAGGATTACGCGGGAGTGGTCGTAGGCGATGACGTTGGCGTATCGGTTCTTGGGTTTGTTGACCTCCAGGTTGGAATGCTCCCAGGTGAACTGCTGACCCGGATCGATGGACTGTGGAGAGAAAGCACGGATTGAAACCACCCTCAGGGCTTTTCCCAATCCCTCGGCATCACAGGCATGAATACTAATGTGAGAAGAGAGCGAGTCCGCATCCGCCAGAACATCACAAGAAGGTGGAGAGTTCAACTCTCAGAATGCGGGGTTGAGTGAGGCCACGAGGACTAAAACTAGCGGATGGGAACGAAATGAGACAACGAGATAAAAGTCCGCACATTAAAGTGTAATTAAAAGCCGTCTGCTATCGTTTTAAAATATTCACCAGCGTTCGGCCAGGTAGCTTTGTCGGGACAGTGAATAATAGGGAAGGGAACGCTGATATAAGAGTCTGTTCCTTCCTGTGAGGGGTGAATTATCTGGCGCCAGCAAGATAAATGCCACCACGTTCCCAATATGAGAATTTCTGAATAAATATTCTATTCCCCTGTCGGGGTAATTTAGTATTCCATTATGATTCCGAGCCTGTTCTCGGGCGATGGCTCCGTCCCAGCTCTTCTAGCTTGAGGGATGTTTTCATTTAGGCGACTATCTCTGCATGCTGAAACTGGGACTAAATAACCCACAATGAGGGGTTTGATGTAACTGTTTACCCTGCGATGATTACAGGCACGAATAACAGAGCACCGATCCTCCGCAGGTTGTCCATGCTCTCGAACACGTCTCTCTTGTCATCAACCGCCTGTGGGTTTTAACGCATTGGTCTGGTTCTGGTCAGACTGCGTTGTAATGTAGCGGATCACGTGCGAAGGGACTTTGGTAATCCACAGCAACACCCAGCTCACATCGGACTTTTTCTGCTCCACATCAGCATCCATCATCTCTAATATTTATTTTTTCCTTTCTACCCCCGTTTTTACCAAACATCACTCTTTGATTTAACTAGCTATTATTAGCACACTATATCAAACACTACATTCCCTTATAGAGCGGCAGTTCCCCAACGTTATCATCAGCGGACCTCAATTATGTACTTGAAATGCAAGTTTAAAGGGTTTTTCAACCTTGCAGTTCTACTGTAAACCTCTAGGGGTTCCCTACTCCGCAGTTTAAATTTCTTGTAACAATTTACGCCATTGTTTACTCACTTTTTGCAGGTAGCGAGGTCAGAAACTAAATATTCAAGGCTGCTTAAGAATGACTTTCCTTCCGTTGGCTAGCATACGCAGCGAATGCTAATCTATATGCTATGCCAATGTTCCAAAAATGATAGCGGGATGGCTCAACTCAAGCGTGCCCATGTTCCTGCTGGGATTTTGGGTCTGGCTCACGCTGGGAGCCATTTAGGATGGCATTAAGCCCCGGGGGGCGTTGATGGCACCGCACACTGTGATTTAAGATGGACGACGACATTTGCACTATGCAAATTAAGGCTGATTCAGCAATAGTAAGGGCTAATCAGCAGCCGCTACATGTACGAGCCCAGCGCTCCAAACAGAGACATCCGTGCCACTGCAAAACCCCTGGGCACATGAGTAACTGCCATGTGAACAGGACAAAAAAAATATCATATAGCAGGGCCTAAAATTAACACTCACTAAGCACCAAATGAGAGTATGAATCGGTGTTGGCGAGTATACAAAACAGTGTCAATCGCAGTTGGCCAGTAACATTTTTATGAATTCTAACAAGGCCAGTGTTATCCAAGTATGCAGTGTTATTTTACATTTGGTTACTTTATTAAATAAATTCAGGTATAAGACCTACCTGAAAAACCTGAAAAGCACTTTTTATTTAATTTGTATCTTTGTTATATTGTATTTATTTGTGCTTCAGCCTGTAATTTGAATATTTGTTTGATTATTACTGACTTAGTTATTTCACTTCTCTTTAATAATGCTTTAAAGTTTAGTAGTTTTAGCTGTGGTCTTGAAATTGGAAGAAAAAACTGAATTTTCTAGGGCTGTCAGTTAAACGCCTTAACTTAAACAGCGTTAACGCAAACCCATTTTAATGGCGTTAATTATTTTATCGGGCGATTAACGGCCTTTTTGTCCTAGCAAACTTTGTCGTTTTTTCCCACATGCTTTCGCAACAGAACGCGGTATGCGCGGCGCTGCGGTATGAAACCCATTCATTTTAATGGCTTGCGCCACGCGAGGACGTTTTGTTGCTTCGTCGACCAAAGCGCAAGCGGATCTAGCTAGACCGGAAACAAAACAACAGGCACGCTGCACACACTCGTTTGGGCTTGCGAGCCGGCCAAATAGTTGGTTAACGTAACGTTTTGAATGGATGCCAATAAGATTCTGAATTGAAAGTTAACTTTTAAAAAGTTGTTTAAAAAGTCCATTGATAAGACCGAAGTGAAGTAATAAAATAAATCAAGAGACATTTAGAATAGTTTAATTTTGATTAATCGTGAGTTAACTATGAATTTAATGCGATTAATCGCGATTAAATATTTTAATCGTTTGACAGCACTAGAATTTTCACTAATGAATGTCATTACTGCCTGCTTTTGCAAAAACATTTTATAATTAGGGCTGTGCAAAAATTAATTGCTATTAATCGCATCCAAAATAAAAGCCATTTTTTTATATAAATACACACACATGCATGTATATATTTAAGAAAATGTGTTATTCATATATAAAATATTTATATTTATATAACATAGATTATGTATTTATTTATATATATATATACAGAATTTAAGCGCAAATAATTCTTAAATATATACATGCATGCATAGGTATTTATATATATACAAAATAATTATATACAGCACACACAAATATATTATGTAAACACAGACTTTTATTTTGGATGCGATTAATCGCAATTAATTTTTGCACAGCCCTATTTTTAATATATAATATAAATTATCCTAAGTCACCGACTATTGGCTGGTGTGACAGAAAGTTAGTTTTATACCCTGCAAATAATATTTTTTACCAAAAAACGCCATACCTCGTACTCCTGGGAGAGCTTCAGGTTGTCGTTGGCCTTCAGTAGATCGGTGTGCTCGGCTAGCTCTGAGATGGGTATGGGAGGGTGGTTCATCATACCTGTGCACCAATCAGGAGAAGACGACACAGAAAGACAAGGTCATTAAGACCACCATGGCCAAGAAAGGCAGTTAGAAGCAAAATCCCAAATACTGGTGGAGAATGCGGGCAGGGGTGGGGGAAGACACCCAAGCAGGGAAGATAATGAGGTGGGACTGTAGTGAGGAACAGTAGGTGATGTTAGGGACACAGTGTGACCAGGCCAGAGCTCTACATCATCAATCCGTCCAATCAGGATCATTCTAATACAAAAAAAATCTGACTGTCTTTATACAGACAATATGAAGGCAAGGACCTAAGGACCATTGCTAAGGTGCTACTTAAACCCCAGACCAATTACAACGCTGATAGGGGTCAAATGGTTCCTAATAGCTTTGCAATATTTCCAAAGCAATGAAATGTCTTCCGTCTCACTCCACTAGAGCTAAAAATGATGAGCATGCACTCTGACAAAACATAAGTTTGTACTCAACGGACTAAGACAAAGAGAACAATGTGCTTGGTTGCCTTGAAGGCAATGGGATACTCCACTTCTTTGACTCATTTTACAACTCCCCCAGAGTTAAACCGTTGGGTTTTACCGTTTTCCAATCCATTCAGCCGATTTTCCGATATTTAGAAAAATATCAGTAACCAGACAGTTTCTGGTCCCATTGACTTCCATAGTAGGAAAAAATATATACTATGGAAGTCAATGGGACTAGAAACTGTCTGGTTACTGATATTCTTCTAGATATCAGAAAATCTGCCGAATGGATTTGAAAATGGTAAAACCCAACTGTTTAACTCTTTAATGAAAACAAACAAATGAGTCACAAAGGCAGCCCCCAAAGATGAGCCTTTGGGAAATAAGTTAATGTCTACAGAGCCAAAACATAATAGAAGTTTTCAGATTTGCATTTGATTAATCTATTTCACTGAGGCGAGACAAAAGGCTAAAACCACAATACAAGATTGATGCTTGTCACCCCATGTACATTGTTCACAACGATGGTGATGGGATCTGTGTTCCCTATGTAGAGTTACTCTAAAATAGGGGAGTACACTCCTACCCAATAGGGTTTAGATTGATCCCCAATTAAAGCCACCCGAAACATCCAATTAAGGTCTTGAGGATCACCAGAAACATCCAGGCAGGAAAGTGGCCAAGATTGGACACCCCTCTCCAAACCATAACTCTAATCCTGTCAAGTAGGGAGTGACTTTTGTAGACTTGAACACAAAAGTACACAAGCTTCCGTCTTGTATTTCACCAAACAGACACGTTTGCATGTCATCTTGTACAAACGAAATTCCAAAAACGAAATATACTGTTCTGCAGGGGGAAATCTGGAAAGCTTCCACACTAAACACGAAAAATATGAGCAAGCGAGAGGTAGAAAAATATAATATTGCCTTTCCCAGAGGAAACGTCTTGCCTTAATATTTCCAGCAGCAATCCTTTTGGCAGAGGCTTGCAATAATTTCCTTATGTAACCCTTCATTTGAGCAGTGATGGCGAATAAAGCTCGTGAGGTGAGGGCTGATGAAGGGGGTAATCAGGGTAAGGTGGGGGGTTTATTCGAGAGTTCTGGCCTGGGTTAAGATGACCTGATGGTACCGGTGCTCTCAGCTTCAGTTTAGTCAAAGCTGAGCAAGCGTGTCACAGAAGCAGCCACCCATGCTAACCCTGCAAGACCTTTCCTCAAACAAGCACCAGTTAGCACACGTTAGCTCAGACCCCCCCCCAAAAACCCTAGGCCGTGCTGGAGTTAATCTAGTTCTTAATTAGTAATGGAATAAATGGACGCTAACTTATTTAAAGAGGCCACTGGTCTACTTCAGAGGTCAAAAGTTGACATCTTCCTTCAAGAGTACTGTGATTTAATTAGGCATAAATAATCTGCATAATTACATTAGCCACGCTCAATTTGACACGTTTTTTTTTCTTCTCTAAATGTTGTATGCTGCAAATGAGTTTGCTTGGGTTTGATTGAGATCACTCAACGAGATGTCCCATTTTTGTTATGGGAGAATTGGTTGAATTACCGGATGCTAACGCTTCTTTAAGTCTAAAAACGTTATTTTCACCAGTCAAGAGATTGTCTGGAATCAGTTTTAACCTCTTAAGGTGAACCAAGATAATGTATGCCAAAGCACTCCCGAAAAAGATGCGAAGGGCAACTTTGGCAAACAACCTGAGATCAGACCTGCATGCTAAATGACAAAACCCCCATAATGCAATGAGAAAGGCCAATCGAAGCCCAACAAACTCTTTCCAATGTCAACCTATTCCTCAACTTTGCTCCGTGTCAACAACAATTACTCGTCATCCATTTTTCTATTTCATGAGCAGGCTGTTATTTGTTTGTTCTCAGGAATTTTTTCCCGAATCAATTATATTTAATCCGATCGGGGAGCAAAAAAAATGCTTTAACCTCTGCTGATGACACAAAGTTTTCTCTGTTATCAAAATTAACTCTTCGGTGCTGTTCGGGTTTCGTCCATTTTATTTTATTTAGATATCAACCTCATATATGAAACACAGCTTGTTTAGATTTATGGGTTTGATTTTCTGTTTCACATAAAAATTAAGAATTACGAGATAATTTTTCAGGGAAAAAAGTTTTTGCTCTGTTTTTTTTTAATCAACGAGTTAATTAAAACGAGCAAAATTACGAGAATTTTTCATGGGAAAACGTTTTTGCTTTTAAAAATTAAAAACGGTAAAAAAACAACAACAAACACTAAATTTCAAGTGAACTTTTTACAACTTTTTTTCAAGTGTCATCTTTAAAAAGAGACCAAACGTTGTTGGAAATTTCATAAATGAATGTGAAAACGGTAATAACTACTGCATAAATATTATTTAGTACCATAAAATCCCAACGCTATCTCACGACCAATTCGTACGAGTGATTAAAAAGTGGCTAATTCGTACTAATTCATACGATCTCACTCGTGCGAATTTGTACGATTCTTCTTAACCCATGTGATGGGTAGGTTTAGGGGCGGGGTCAGGGGTAGGTCATTCGTACGAATTCATACGAATTGGCCAACTTGTAAAATATGTACGATTTAGCAAAAATCGTATTAATTTGTACGAATGAGGTCAAGCGAATTGTTACGAATTAGCCACCTTGTAAAATTCGTACGAATTGCTGTGAGATCTGGTTGAAAATCGCCCCAAAATACAATCTATTAAATTAAAAAATATTGTCAAACTAAAATATAGTACAATCATTTAATTTAAATTTAAAAGGTCATTCCAGAGGGTTAGCCATATTCAATTTCAAGTATTTAGTGACAGATACTAGCAAGTGTATTTCAAGTCTGTTTAAGAAAGCTATATAACTCTTTCAAGGACAAATTCCCGTTGTTAATTCTGCTTTCTCTGCCAGGATATTTCTTTCTCTCGTTCTTTTTATCCCATGCAATCAAGCTCAAGATCACGGAGCGCGAGAGAAGCAAACTGTCTAATTACATATTTTCAGTCTCTTATTTGTGCTTGACAGGTGATGCAAATAACAAATCCTTTTGATATCCTCCGCCGCTTTTTTTATGCGATTGTTCATTTACATATAAAAGGGGAAAACACTTGGTATATTTCCCCATAAAAACAACAAAAAAAGTGAGCCGTGTTTCTCTTTGCTCTGCCTCGCTGGGGGGCGGGAGGGACGTATCAAATGTCGGACTATTGTTTGCGGAGGGTTTAATTAATTCGGCTCGTTATCTCTGCCTGCAGAGCGACCCCATCGGGGGAGGGGGGCCGAACGGACAGCTGAGCTGGAGGCCAGGAAGAGGATGCTGGGATATGTGAAGACCTGTGCAAAAACCGTCTCGACATCATCAGCTGTGACTGCAGTGCTTTACTGTGGATTAATAGAGTTCAGCCAACAGCCAGTGAGAACAAAGCAATCGACAAGCAGAAATACTAAACACATCAAAAAGGAAAAATCAAAAGCCGCGTTACGAAAGAAAGTTAAAAGCAGTCATAATTAGGATGCATTTGCATTATGCATAATGCAGAACAAATTTGTGGGTGTATCGTTGATGCATATACATTTTAAGAATATATGTTTTATATATTTATGAATATATATATATGTATATATATATATATATATATATATATATATGGAAGCGTATTGCATTCACTTGAGGAAAAAAAATATACTCGGTTTTTCTGAATTAACGAGTTAATTATCTCAGAAATACGAGAACATTTTTCATGAACAAAAACAGTTTTTGCTCTGTTTTTCTAAATTAACGAGTTGATTATCGTAATTCGTAATATCGGGAAAAAAATTTTGCTCTGTTTTTCTGAATTAACGAGTTAATTATCGTAATTCGTAATATCGGGGAAAACATTTTGCTCTGTTTTTCTGAATTAACGAGTTAATTATCGTAATTCGTAATATTGTGAAAAAAATTTTGCTCTGTTTTTCTGAATTAACGAGTTAATTATCGTAATTCGTAATATCAGGGAAAACATTTTGCTCTGTTTTTCTGAATTAACGAGTTAATTATCGTAATTCGTAATATTGTGAAAAAAATTTTGCTCTGTTTTTCTGAATTAACCAGTTAATTATCGTAATTCGTAATATCGGGAAAAACATTTTACTCTGTTTTTCTGAATTAACGAGTTAATTATCGTAATTCGTAATATCGGGAAAAAAATTTTGCTCTGTTTTTCTGAATTAACGAGTTAATTATCGTAATTCGTAATATCGTGAAAAAGTTTGCTCTGTTTTTCTGAATTAACGATTTAATTACGAGATAATTTTTCATGGGAAAAAGTTTTTGCTCTGTTTTTCTGAATTAACGAGTTAATTATCGTAATTCGTAATATCGGGAAAATTTTTTTACTCTGTTTTTCTGAATTAACAAGTTAATTATCTCAGAATTACGAGATATTTTTTCACGGAAAAAAGTTTTTGCTTTGTTTTTCTGAATTAACTAGTTTTTGAGATAATCAAGTCAGAAAAACAGAGTACTTTTTTTCTTCAAGTGAATGCAATGCGCTATGAACTTTTTATGCTTCATGCTGGCTAACATTGTCTTTAAAGCACCAACAGAAAGGTAATATTTACCCTAAATTATGCACCTCTTATAAGAAAAGCAATTGCTAATGAGATTCAGTTTTAGGTTTCATTTGAGGCTTGACTCCTTTTAACTTTCCCAGGGTTACGGGAGTGAACATTAGCGCAGATCCGGCATTTGTGAAGGGAGGGGGAACAGAAGTCATATGCAAATGTAGTCGGAGAACACAACCCATTATTTCGGATGTGGGGCAGACGCATTAAAAAAAGATCAGAAAACACCAAAGCTCAGCGCGAGATGTGAGCACTAACTTTCATAGTCAAAACCAGCTTCACTGACAGGACTGCTTAGGCCCGAATCTGTGAAAAACAGCAAACACCAAAAATAAAATAAAAGCATCCCTTTTAAATGCACTGAAATGGATTGAAATAAATGGAAATGAATTAGCTTCTCTTTTATACATCTGCTCCCCCTAATTAATTTTTCACACTATATTGTGCATTTTTAAACAGGCAGAAGTAAGGACCACCCCTGCTTTGAATGAAGGCGGTAATCCTCGCGAGGGTCCTCGTGTTGGATCCGACGCCAAGCCGTCTGTCAGACAGTGGAAGTAGGACACAACCTAACATCAGATGTTTATTACACACACAGATCCACACTGTGAACCAGTGGAGACGCTATTTATACCACGTGACATTTGTAAAATCCAACATTAAGACGCAATATAATCCACTATAGCATCGACCTGACTCCATGTTCGTTTTTTTAAAGGAATAAATTCGCAAAATATCAGATGGCAGCGTCGATGAAGCGGTAAAACCACATACGGTCAGTGTTTAGCGCTCGACGTCTGCCTGCATAGCGAGCGGATGAGGAACGTCTTTAGCTTCTGTTGTTGAAGTCTGAACCATCTGTGATGACTTTAGGCGCACGACACCTATGCAGACGGGTCAGATTAACATGTTAGCAAGTGGATCAGAGCATTATAATTAGCAATTTAAAGGGATAGTTCACTTTAAAATTAATTTTTGGTATGTTTTATCTTACCTCAAGGGCGTCCGAGATGTAGTAGATCCGCAGTATTTTCAATTTTAATATTTTTAGGTCAAACCGTTCTTGTCTGTCAGTCATATAATGGAGGTCTATGGTCACCACCTCAAAGAGCATGCACAAAGAGGTAAAAACGATATAAACACTGTTCGTTTTCTCACACAAACCGCTCGTTTCGTGTCTTAGGCCATCAGTGTGTACTTACATTTACGAGTCATTAAATCATGTTTAATTTGGACTTCTCTGTGCATGCTCTTTGAGGTGGTGACCATAGACCTCTATTATATGACTGACAGACAAGAACGGTTTGACCTAAAAATATAAAAATTGAAAATACTGCGGAAACAAAGACTCCTACATCTTGGATGCCCTTGAGGTAAGATAAAACATACCAAAAATTAATTTCAAAGTGAACTATCCCTTTAAGTAGACTTTCGACAAAAAATTATATTTTATGCTGTATGCTGGCTAACATGACTGTTGTCAAGCTAAAAATATATACTTGTATTATGATGTTTTTTTTATTTAATTATGTTTTATTGGTGATCATGTTTGCATTAGTTAAAATAACAATTAAAAAAAAAAGTAAATCAGTAAAGATTTATAAATTCGACAGTCATATTGGTTATCATTTCTTACAAAAAAATAGTTATGGGTTATCTATATCTGCCAAAATGCCTATAAAACTTGATTATTATTTTAATTAGCATTATATTATGAATGCATAAAACATATATAGGTAAAAAAGGATTGTTTATTTATATATTTATGCCCTCTATTTATGTTTGATGGCGACCATATTTACATCAGCCCCCCAAAAAAGGCAAAACTGTACAGATTTATAAATTCAAAAGTCCCATCGTTTATCATTTGTAACATAAAAATAGTTATCGGTTATGTATATCAACCAAAATTTGAAAATAAGTGCATTGGTAAAGCAGAAATTAAGGTTAATACTTTATTGAGTGGATGAATTATCATTAAAATTCAAATTATTAATAACTTAAATTTTTTAATATTAATGCATGCAAAAAAAAAACAAATAAATGTTAAACATTAATTTAGATAATTTTTTTGATTATATTTTAAAAATAATTGATTCGTTTTAACAAAAAAATTATTCATTAAAAACAGTTTTTTAAACAAATATTAAAATAATTATCAGTTACCGTTTTAAAATGTTCTACATCGGTGCATCGCTTTAATTACAAGATATAAACAATATTTACAATAAGCATCGTTTGTCTTATGTAAATATTAAACGTCAAAATAAACCAAGAAATCAATACAAAAATAAATATACAGTGATACGCATCAAGATTTTAGCAGGCAGCCAAAAAAATAAATAAATAAAAGACAAGGATTACAAATCTTCTATTCACAGACACGATTCATCACAGGCTTAGAGACACCCTGAGCGCTGTCACGTTAAACAGTTTGCTCATAAACGTCTTTGTGCTCTAAATGACTTAATAATACCAACACAAGCAGACTAAAGAGGAGGAATCGAGCACAATCTGACCCCTAAATGTGCCACGAAACAAACAGAACGCGTGTGTCTCGTCTCATTAGGATGAGCACAGTGGTCGAGCCATATGTGCCAGTCATCCATGTGAACTGAAGTGTGCTCCTCTGAACAATGGACCCTATTAGCTAATGGAAATGTCGCCAATGTTTCCCCGTCCCAGTTAATTGAGCTAAAATGTCCTCTTAAATAAAAAGAGATAATGACATCCCGCGCTTAAAAAGAACAACGCCGCGTCACAAATCGAACGCTCCTCAATTAATAAAGTCCGACGAGGACGACTTTAACGAGGCGAACCTCTGATAGCGTTGAAGCAGACGAGAGAGGCGAGGAGTAAGATGAAAGCACGCCAGGCTCATCTCAGATGTGTTATTAGGCGGCCGCCGGACAAGATGCCCCACAATGGACAGGTGATTATGGGAAATGAGGTTCTGATAGAGGCTTTCTCGCGTTCTCCACCTCCATTTCTCATCCGGCTCTCGTTTTATCTCCGCTGAAGGAGGAGAGCTCCGAGTTACGACCTCCTCTGCCGGCCGAGGGCAGATTACCGCCTTTGAAACCAGAGCTGTTTGATGGAGAGAGCGGACAGATTCACTTCAAGGAGCCGCGGAGAAATGTCAGACTGGGTTTAACGTCCAAAGCCGACGAAAATGAGAGCGCTCTTTGAACTGGAGGATTCGGACGAGACACGAGATCGTCGAGAGGAAACACATCTCAGTTGTTGAACCAAATATAACAGAAAATGATTGACAGGCCGCACACAATTATTAACTAATAAACCGCATAGGCAGAGATGGCAGCTGAAACTGACAGTTAAATTAAAGTTAACTGACAAAATATGTCACTCCTGCACACTTCAAAGGAAAATAATGTCAAAATTCGTAATTATTTTGATTTGAGGGTGAAATATGATGTAAAAATAGATATGACAGGTTTGGTGAGATGACAGTTTACAGTAGGAGGGCAGTATCTATGTACCTGGGGTCTGGAAGTTGATGCGCCTCATCTCCACGGGGTCAGTGGGGTGGTGAGGGGTGATCTCGGCGTTGTTCAGAAGGCATTTCGTCCGTGGCTCTGACTCTTTCCGTTTGCTGCTTTAAAAGAGGAAAGGGAAACGTGGAGACTAAATGAAAACTGACAAATGAGATGGAAGAAGAACAAGAGGCGCTACAGCGATCTACCATGTCACATTTAAGACATTTATTATTTGAATTTAGTGATTTTTGACTGATATATCGGTGCATCTGTAATTATATATATATATATTAGGCCTGTCAGTTAAACGCGCTATTAACGGCGTTAACGCAAACCCATGTTAACGGCGTCAATTTTATCGCGCGATTAATGACCTAGCAAACGTTTTTTTTTCACATGCTTTAGCAACAGGATGCGGCATGCACGCATTCGTTTCAATGGCTTTCGCCGCGCGAGGACGTTTTGTTGCTTCGTCGACCAAAGCGCAAGCGGATCTAGCTAGACCGGAAACAAAACAACAAGCACGCCGCAGACACTCGTTTGGGCTCGCGATCCAGCCAAATAGTTGGTTAACATTACGTTTTGAGTGGATGGTGAGCGTGGACATTTAGAATAGATACAAATGTGCGAATAATTGCGATTATTTGCGAGTTAACTATGACTTTAATGTGATTAATCGTGAGTTAACTATGACATTAATGTGATTAATCGCGAGTTAACTATGACTTTAATGTGATTAATCACGAGTTAACAATGGCATTAATGTGATCAATCGCGAGTTAACCATGTCATTAATTGCGATTAATCGCGAGTTAACTATGGAATAGATCGTGATTAATTGCAAGTTAACTATGACTTTAATGTGATTAATCGCGAGTTAACTATGACTGTAATGTGATTAATCGTGAGCTAACAATGATATTAATTGCGATTAATCGCAAATTAACTATGGCATTAATTGCAATTAATCGCGAGTTAACTATGGCATTAAAGGGTTAGTTCACCCAAAAATGAAAATTAAGTCATTAATTACTCACCCCCATGCTGTACCAACCCCGTAAGACCTTCGTTCGTCTTCGGAACACAAATGAAGATATTTTTGATTAAATTTGAGAGCTGTATAACTACCACATTGGCTCCTAAGGGACTGCCTCTTGACGGCCCAGAAAGTCAATGAAGAAAATGTTTAAATATCCCAAGTGACTACCGTGGCTCAACTATATGTTTATCAAGCGACGCGAATACTTTTTGTGCGAAAAAACAAACAAAAATAACGAGTTTATTCGACTATTTCTTTTCTTCCCTGTAGGCCAGAACGAGACTTCCTTAGATTTCCACGACGCATGCGCGAGAATTGCGATCTGCTCACACCAGCTTACACCACTTCAGATCGCAATTCTCGCGCATGCGTCGTGGAAATCTAAGGAAGTCTCGTTCTGGCCTACAAGGAAGAAAAGAAATAGTCGAATAAACTCGTTATTTTTGTTTGTTTTTTCGCACAAAAAGTATTCGCGTCGCTTGATAAACATATAGTTGAGCCGCGGTAGTCACTTGGGATATTTAAACATTTTCTTCATTGACTTTTTGGGCCGTCAAGAGGCAGTCCCTTAGGAGCCAATGTGGTAGTTATACAGCTCTCAAATTTAATCAAAAATATCTTCATTTGTGTTCCGAAGACGAACGAAGGTTTTACGGGGTTGGTACAGCATGGGGGTGAGTAATTAATGACTTAATTTTCATTTTTGGGTGAACTAACCCTTTAATATGATTAGTCGCAAGTTAACTATGTCTTTAATGTGATTATTCGCGAGCTAACTATGATATTAATTGCGATTAATTGTGAGTTAACTATAACTTTAATGTGATTATTTGCGAGTTAACTATGACTTTAATGTGATTAATCGCAAGTTAACTATGATATTAATTGCAATTAATCACGAGTTAACTATGACATTAATATGATTAATCGCGAGTTAACTATGACTTTAATGTGATTAATCGCGAGTTAACTATGACTTTAATGTGATTAATCGCGAGTTAACTATGAGTTTAATGTGATTAATCGCGAGTTAACTATGACTTTAATGTGATTAATCGCGAGTTAACTATGACTTTAATGTGATTAATCGCGAGTTAACTATGACTTTAATGTGATTAATCGCGAGTTAACTATGACTTTAATGTGATTAATCGCGAGTTAACTATGACTTTAATGTGATTAATCGTGAGTTAACTATGAGTTTAATGTGATTAATCGCGAGTTAACTATGACTTTAATGTGATTAATCGCGAGTTAACTATGACTTTAATGTGATTAATCGCGAGTTATCTACGACTTTAATGTGATTAATCGTGAGTTAACTATGACTTTAATGTGATTAATCGTGAGTTAACTATGAGTTTAATGTGATTAATCACGAGTTAACTATGGCATTAATATGATTAACCGCGAGTTATCTACGACTTTAATGTGATTAATCGTGAGTTAGCTGTGACTTTAATGTGATTAATCGCAAGTTAACTATGATATTAATTGCAATTAATCGCGAGTTAACTATGGCATTAATATGATTAGTCGTGAGTTAACTACGACTTTAATGTGATAAATCACGAGTTAACTATGATTTTAATGCGATTAATCGCGAGTTAACTATGGCATTAATATGATTAGTCGTGAGTTAACTACGACTTTAATGTGATTAATCGCGAGTTAACTATGATTTTAGTGCGATTAACTATTTTAATCATTTGACAGCACTAATATATATATATATATATATATATACACACACACACACTGTGTTTATAGTTAATATAGAGGAAGCTAGATGCTAGCACAAACAAAGCTCTGTCCACAGCACAACACAGCCGAGGGGCACATTGGTTGAACCCGCTATTTCAGTGCCATCTAATTAAAACTCGCTTTTATGCTGAGGCAGGTTGTTTTCTTTTGCCCCCTGAAAACAGCAAAAAAGTACAGCTAAGCCTTACCTGTCAGGCTTGCTGCTTCCAAAGAAAGCATTGAAGTGAAATAAATATATAAAAGAGAGAAAACACAACAAGAGAAGAAGGGAGAGAAAAAAATCAATAGAGTTCATTTAAATTCACAGGGCAGGCTAGCAGTGGCGGATTAGCTTCATCTGCATTTGGACAGACCTGTAAAGATGTGTGTTTGCGCATCTCCAGACACCAGAGGTCAAACTCAAGGGCCTGCCGAGGGAGGAAAATGCTAACCAGGAGTCGTTCGCTTTTAACCTCGTCCGTGAGGTGCTAATGAGCAATAGCTCCCGCACGTTAGCATGCTAAAAGTCAAAGCGATCTGCTTTGGCCGTGCTCTGAAGCTAATAGCTATTAGCCATCACCTCGTTAAATTTTGATAAGATCGAATTGACTGCTCTCCTCAGATCTCCACACGATGCTAACGGCTCTCTAAAATCATTCTTTTAGCATTTCATGATGCATTTACACTACGCTAGCTTGACGATAGTTCCATATAAAGAACAAATCAGGTCTGAAATGGAGATTGCTGGTACTATACAAGCATAAATTCAATAGGATGTAAAAATAAGTCCACTCACTTCTTGTAGAGGAGAATCGCAATCACAATACAGATTATGAAGACCACAGCGAGAACGGGTCCCACCACCCAGATGAGTCCGTCTCCTCCCGTCTCCAGGGGCTGAGGGTCCACATCAGGAGCCATGATTGGGTCCGTGTAGGGGCTCGATGCAAACGACTTCTGCACCAGCACAAAAAAAGGTTAAAGTTATATGCATTTGTCACTTTTTGGTTGTCATAACACCAATTTGTGATGGATTAAAAAGGCCCTCACCCCTCCAGTAGTGTTAAGCTCAGCTAGGATGAACAACACGTATTCCTGTCCAGGGTCCAGAGCCCTGTTTTCAAAGGCGCTGTACACTCTCTGGTCGCCCAGGATGAAGGACGACGGCATGGATGAGGGCTTGAAGCTGGCAGCGATGTAGGGCCGCTTTCCGTCCACCTGCTTGAGCTGACGGGTGGTGCGCGCGTGACGTTGAAGTCTTCTTTCGCCCAACAGCTGTGGGAGAAAAAACTGCTTGAGAAGAACTGAAACCAGCATCTAAAACACAACATATGGACCAAATCTGCATCAAGCCGTGCCAAGAGTGGGCCAAAAATGGGCTATCTACTATTAAAAACTAAGTCCCAATGAATAAAGTAACCTAACACAGCTCAAGGTCAAGTGGCTAAGCGTTGCAGTTTGCCAGCGGGTGAGGATGAGAGCTGTGTAATTGTCCCCCTTTTCCCTGACAAACCCCTCGGGAACAATCCCACAATGCTCCTGCGAGAACACTGTCCATGGCTGTGGCTCCACTGTGTCTGCGACTCGAGGACAAAGACTTGTGGGAAAAAGGGCATGTTCACCTCTTCCAGGTCCAGCTCATCTGGGTTCTTGATGTGTCTGATCGGTCCTCTTCCCTTCTTCAGAGGAACCACCACGATATAGATCGCCCTGCAAGAGGTCAAGATGGTGAACAACAGAAATCGTTAGTAGATCATAAACACATTATCTACATTTCTGTATCCATCAGAGCATTACAAATGGGAATATCTAGCTAAACAAAACCTGAAAAAACCTTTTGCTGATAATTGACTCACCCCCATGTCATCCAAGATGTCCACGTCTTTCTTTCTTCAGTCGAAAAGAAATTAAGGTTTTTGATTAAAACGTTCCAGGATTTTCTCCATATAATGGACTTCAATGGGGTCCAAAAGACAGTTTCAGTGCAAACTGTTCAAAGGGCTTTAAACGATTCCAGACGATGAATAAGGGTCTTATCAAGCGAAACGATCGCTCATTTAATAAATAAATAACAAAGTTTAAGTTTTATAAGCTCAAATGCTCGCCTTGCTTTGTTCTGTGATGCGCGTTCGTGACTCTCCTGTTCGAACTCGTTCATCAAAATGAACAAATCTTTTTCCGAGTCAATTCGCTCATTTTGTTTGTTGAATTAACCAAATGACTCGAAAAAAGATTCATTTTGAAGAACGCATTTGAGTTTTTAAAACTTCAACTTTGTTATTTATTTATTAAATGGCCGATCGTTTCGCTTGATAAGACCCTTATTCATCGTCTGGAATCGTTTAAAGCCCTTTGAACAGTTTGCACTGAAACTGTCTTTTGGACCCCATTGAAGTCCATTATATGGAGAAAATCCTGGAATGTTTTCATTAAAAACCTTAATTTCTTTTCGACTGAAGAAAGAAAGACATGGACATCTTGGATGACATGGGGGTGAGTAAATCATCAGCACAAGTGAACGACTCCTTTAACACAGGTTCTGCATTCTCAGTATGGCCACAAGGGGCACAATAGAGAACAACAGCATAATCTTTCTTAAAAAACGGATCCATCATTTGCACATGTACACTTGGGTAGAGGTCGGTTTTCCTCACTTGATCAAGTCTTTGGCCTCCAGCGGCGGGAAGAGAATGGTCAGCATACTGTCCGGCTCTCTTTTCAGGTCCAACTCAGGCTTTCGGATCAGGATAGCCGGCGCCGTTCGGGCGATGAGCTTGTGTTTGGGTCCACCGTCGCTGCTCTCCTGACAGGTGATTCTGAACTCATAGGTGACGTTGGGTCGTAAATTGGTGATGAGAGCTTTGGTCATCCTCGCATCAACGTCAACCTTCTGCCGGTTGTATTCGATCTGTGGAAGAATGTGCATGGATTAAGTGTTCACAATACAGTCCCTCCAGGATTTCACGATTTTTTTGGTGATTTTTGCGATCAAAATTACTGATTTTGAGGTGGTAATTTCCAAAAATTTGTGAAAAAATTTGTGATTTATATATAACATTTACCATAATAGTATTCAGTCCTTCCAGAAAAACGCTGAGTTTTTTTGTGATTGTTTTGAATCAAAAATTGATTGATTACGCGGCCCGTTTTCTTTAAAAATGCGATGGAATATGCGGGATATTTATGCAATTTTATGCGATGAAATTGAGGGAACTTGCAAAAATTGCGGTTTGATGAAAAATAGAAAAAAAAGTGATTCCCCCAACACCCTGTTCTCACTAGGCTAAATGTAAGAGTCATTTCTCATTACTTCCTTTGATATCCAAGCATACTACATCATAGAAAGTGCTGGGAATATTTAATGTCTCATCTTGTTTTATTTCAGACTGTAACGAGTGTAAATAAGGTGTGGCCCCTTTAAGAGCTCTCTGCAGTGTTATATGTGCGCCTCGAACACCCCATGTCTGTTTGATGCTACTTCTTTTATCTTATGTTGTTTATTAAGTAACGATGTGACGGTAGAACGTGCGACAGACAGTTATACGAGTTCGATTTGTGAGATGTCAATCGCCTCCGCGAGTCCGTCTGGCGTCGCGTAATTGCGTCACTTCATAACGTTCCCATGGAAACAGGGGGAAACGCAACATTTTTCAACTTCCTGCTACGATAAATGTGACTTTTTTTGCAACGAAAATGCGAGTTTTATGAAATTATGCAAACCTCGCATATTTTGCACGGAATTCGGCAATTTATGCGGCGGAAGCGCGGCGTATTTGAAAAAATGCGGCCCCCGGACTTTGGCTGATTTTGCATTGAATTCAGCGATTGCATAATCGCGTTTTTCTAGAGGGACTGACAATAACGTAAATTGACACCATGCAAATAAGGTGTGGCCCCTTTAAGAGCTCTCTGCAGTGTTATATGTGCGGAACTTCATAACGTTCCCATGGAAACCGGGGGAAACGGCTGCTCTTGTGTGAAGCAAACGCAACATTTTTCAACTTTCTGCTACGATACATGTGACTTTTTTTGCAACGAAAATGCGAGTTTTATGAAATTATGCAAACCCCGCATATTTTGCAATTTATGCGGCGAAAGCGCGGCGTATTTGAAAAAATGCGGCCCCCGGACTTTGGCTGATTTTGCATTGAATTCAGTGATCGAATAGTCGCGATTTTCTAGAGGGACTGACAATAACGTAAATTGACACCATGCATCGGTTTAATCACTCACCATGCATCGGTATGGGGAACGGCTATCGGAAAACTTCCAGGTCAGCAGGACCGTGGTCTTGGTGACCAGCTTCACGGTGAAGTTCTTAGGAACATCTGTCCAGAAGTGAATGGAGGAAACAAATTGAGAAAAACAAGTACAGGAGGACTGAAGGGAAAGAAGGCTGACTGAATGATTTTCCCAAGGGAACGGGGCTTTGGTCCCTCGGAGTGAGCGGAGTGTGGCGTTAGCTGTGAAGGGGAGGGAGGGAGGCGCTCAGTTGGGACAAACAGCACGCTAGACTGGACTGGTGAACACAGAACCACAGGATCGCACAGTACTCTGCCTGCCCTGGCCCGGCAGTGCCGCCCCCCAACAAGAAGTTCCCATAATCCCCCCTGAATGCTTCCCCCAACATTACGTTTCTGCGCACTCTTAAATTTGGATAGGCACTGCCGTGGCAGGAAGCCCGACAGGAACGAGGACAAACCCCAAAACACAATTGCAATTGTCATGCCCACACTTGTTAGCAGTGCATCATGGGACACCATGCTTCAAACCATCCCAGTGTGGGAGCGGAGGGGGGGGGGGAAGGTGAGTACAGAAAAGAGACCAAAAAACGAAAAATAAATGAGAAAAAACCCTTCAGATAGACGTGGTTCTCGCCTGCCTTTGATACTAGGGACATTCTGTGATTGGATGAGTGAATGTGCTGGGCGTGTCTGACCAATCGGCACTTACCTCGCAGAAATTGACGCTCCTCCCCTTTCAAAACTGACTGACTTTAGCTTACTGACTTATTTTACCTGGTCGTGGGGGAGGGAGTTAGTGAGGTATGTGGCTCCCAGAGAACTTTATATAATCGGGTGTAGGTGCTTGTCCCTTGAGGCGGGGAAATGAGCAACCCCTACCTGCTTCGTAGGCCACTGTTCGATACTGGATCGGCGGGCTGTAGGGCCCTGGACCTACACTGGTGTGCGCTCGGATTTTCACATCGTACACTGCGTTGGGTCTCAGGCTGTTGAGGGTGTAGCTGTTCTTGCTCGCCGGAAGGCGAAGTTCCTTGGGAGCCATTCCCGCCTCCTGATAGGCCAGTGTGTATTCCGTTATATCGCCGTTGCGCTCCGCTAGCACCGGAGGCAGCCAGGAGAACTGGAGCGAGCAGCAGGTGATGTTGGACCCTTCGGTTATTTGAGGATACCCTCGAGGAACCTCTTCCGGGACTCTAAGTTCTCGCGTAGCCTCTTCGCCAAATCCCGATTTGGACTTGGCGGACACTTTGAACAAGTAGGCGGCCCCTCGGTGGATATTGCTAATGGAGTATTCGAACTCCTGAGGGCCGAACTCCAGCGTGGCCAGGGGGCTCACGTCTTTTCGGCCGAACTGCAGCCGATAGCCCTGCACCTCGAGACCAGGGGCGATGAAATCTGGGGGTTGCCAGCGTACTAACGCGGTAGTCTCTGAGTTTTGGTTGACGGAGAGAAAGGGAGGCCCCGGCACTGTAGAGAGAGAGAGAGAGAGAGAGAGTTCAAATGAACCGTATCCCACTTAAGTTTGCTGTATCAAAACCAAATGTCTTTTCATCCTGTTACTCCCTACTAAAGTTGAGGCACCTGAAACGAATTTAAAAGGATTACAAACCCATTTCCTGTAAAGTACTCTTGCATAAGCATGCATTTATTGTGGAACTGCCATAAAGGTGTTAACCACACATATAAACTCTATGAGTAACTGCAAATGTTTCAAAATCACAGTCTTACGTCTGAACAGCAACACTGTTATATTTCCAGTTAAGGGGAGACGCCTCAGGTCAATAGGGGGAAAAATTAACTAATAGATATCGGGATGAAATTTCCCCGGTTGATTACTGACATTAAGACAAATATCTTTTGTATTACAAGTTTTTTGAATACTTATGTTTAAAGGATTAGTTCACTTTTGAAAAAACCTTTGCTGATAATTTACTCACCCCCACGTCATCCAAGATGTCCATGTCTTTCTTTCTTCAGTCGAAAAGAAATTTAGGTTTTTGATGAAAACATTCCAGGATTTTTCTCCATATAATGGACTTCAATGGGGACCAAAAGACAGTTTCAGTGCAGCTTCAAAGGGCTTTAAACGACACCAGACGATGAATAAGGGTCTTATCATGCGAAACGATCGGTTATTTCAAAACTTATTCCAAAAATGTAACTTTTCTAAGGACAAATGCTAGCCTTGCTCTATTCTGTGAGGCGCGTTTGTGACGTCACGTAATACGTAATTACGCTCAAAAGGTCACGGGCGACGTAGCCGGAAGTACAGAATCAAAATCGTCCGACGTCGTTGTTTTACCTTTTAATTCCTTTTTTGTAAACGCCGTTTGAGTTAGTTTGCACGTTCAAGCTTTGCGTTCAACTTGTAAACACTGATTCTGTACTTCCGGCTACGTCGCCCGTGACCTTTTGAACGTAATTACGTATTACGTGACGTTACAAACGCGCCTCAAAGAATAGAGCAAGGCTAGCATTTGTCCTTAGAAAAGTTACATTTTTGGAATAAGTTTTGAAATAACCGATCGTTTCGCATGATAAGACCCTTATTCATCGTCTGGTGTCGTTTAAAGACATTTGAAGCTGCACTGAAACTGTCTTTTGGACCTTGAACCGTTTGGTCCCCATTGAAGTCCATTATAAGGAGAAAAATCCTGGAATGTTTTCATCAAAAACCTTAATTTCTTTTCGACTGAAGAAAGAAAGACGTGGACATCTTGGATGACACGGGGGCGAGTAAATTATCAGCAAAAGTTTTATTAAAAAGTGAACTACTCCTTTAAATACGCAAATTAGGTATGATCTCATTAAATATGCACTAATTTGCATATATTTCTAGAAGAACATTGGATAAAGAACATTTTGTTGACATATTAGAGTCAAAGTTCTCAAAGGTAGATCTCTTTTTATCACAAACAATCAAAAAAATAATTTTCTCCCTGTTTTTAGGTATAAAATGTTGTATAAATCAGAATCTGAACGATATTCGAGCAATAGGAATACAACTGGAGAGTTTGGTGTATGTAAGCAATGCTGAAGTGGAGATTTCTGCGAAAATGGCCTTTAAAGAATTGACATCAGCCAATGTGATCTCGCTTTTAGAGTTAAATGCCCCATTGTACTTTCTCGATTGGTTGCTGATAAAAAAGGAAATGACCATATTTGGATCCGACAAGAGAGAGAGAGCAGCGGGATGACTTAGAACGCCAACTTTTGACACAAACAGACCTAAAAGTGTATTTTGGACTTTCTTTTCACCACAAGTCTGAAAGAAGACATGTTATTGAAGACAAATAGCCCAACATTTTTAAATTGACCACTGAAAAACAGAAGTGACTAGACGGTTGTTGAACAGAGGGTGGGTTAACAGCCGTATGATGGAGACAGAGGGCATGAGGACAAATGACTCCAGAAAAAGAGGCGAGCTGATGAAGCTCATCGCAATCTACCGCAGCGAGAGGACATGGAGGGTCAGAGACGGTGTGATTGTAGCGCGCTTCCCCTCACCAACAGCACTCCAGTCCACTCCACTGGACGACACACAATCCTCCCCACAGGACCACAGGCACGTTTCCCATTAGGCCTTGCATTAACGGCCACTGTTGACCCGCAGCCACTGATTAAGATGGGATTGCGTTTCAAACTCACGCCCTCCCCTTCCCTACTTCCCTCTCGCTCCCTGTCCTTCTCATCTCCAGTAGAGGAGAAGCGTCAGTGCGGCTGCGGAAAAGAACAAAATAAAATAACCTTCAGCTAACATGCAATTAACCTGCCGACAGGACTTACAGTGAGTTATATTAGGCGTATAAAGCACGACTGCCAGCTGACATGACTTAGCCCCGAAAAAACTGCAGCGCTGCATTCTGGGCCGAACTGATATCAAATATACAAAAGACAAGGGCAATATAACCGTCCGACTTACAGGATAACGAAAGGGGCGACGTAATTAAAAGTCTTTAATTATTAGAAAGAAAATAGAAAATGCGGCAAGATACTAGCTAGATGTTAAAATTCACTTTTCAAAAAACTTTCTGATAATTTACTCCCCCCCGTGTCATCCAAGATGTCCATGTCTTTCTTTCTTCAGTCGAAAAGAAATTAAGGTTTTTGATGAAAACATTCCAGGATTTTCTCCATATAATGGACTTCAATGGGGTCCAAAAGACAGTTTCAGTGCAAACTGTTCAGACTCCAGACGATGAATAAGGGTCTTATCAAGCGAAACGATCGCTCATTTAATAAATAAATAACGAAGTTGAAGTTTTATAAGCTCAAATGCTCACCTTGCTCTGTTCTGTGATGAGCGTTCGTTCTGTGAACGAATCTTTTTCCGAGTCAATTCGTTCATTTTGTTCGTTGAATCAACCAAATGACTCTTCACTTAAACTTTGTTATTTATTTATTAAACGAGCGATCGTTTCGCTTGATAAGACCCTTATTCATCGTCTGGAATCGTTTAAAGCCCTTTAAACAGTTTGCACTGAAACTGTCTTTTGGACCCCATTGAAGTCCATTATATGGAGAAAATCCTGGAATGTTTTCATCAAAAAAAAACTTAATTTCTTTTCGACTGAAGAAAGAAAGACGTGGACATCTTGGATGACATGGGGGTGAGTAAATTATCAGCAAACGTTTTTTTTTTTTAACGCGGCAACTAAAGAAGATCTAATTTTGGATCTATTATGAATGCCACAATGCCTGTTTGTAATCCCATAATCCCAAAAAATTCAATTTTCAGAAAGGTCAGTATCCTGGCTTCGGACGCGGTTGGACAAGAAGCTCCAGAGACCAACAACTCCACGATCAGGACTGGAGCGAGTGGCCCTAAGTGGGTTGATTAATTGAAGGGAATAACCACAGTGCCGGGAGGATTGTGAGACATCCGGAGCCGTGGCGGCCGTCCAAGCGGGCAGTCGTGAAGAACACCTCCAGCCTCGGCATTAGCATGCAATCTGCTCATCTCCCACACGGCTGAGGAGACCGGAGGAAACGGGCTCCTACTCCAAACCTAAAGGCGATGCAGTTTGCGTTTAATGCACACCGCGAAAGATACGGCGTATTAACGACGAAGGCGTTTGACGGAGCACACATCAATCAATCTGTCGGCTCTGAAGCGAGAACAGAATCAATCATTCCTCACGGACAACAGGAGCATCAATTAGATCGATACAAGGACATCTGCTGTGAGATTAAGCGCGGTTAACCGATAACGCAGCATTAATAATGTCCGTCAATACGGCCGACACATGACTCAAAAATAACCCGACTTGCATTGATGTACAATGGCGAACACTTTACTTGAAGGGTTGCGGCACCTATAAAACCATGAGTAGGGTTTATGTTTCTTAAGTTTGATCATTAATCTGCAATATCATGTTGTGTTGTCTTAGTAATGTCATGACAAAGACACTCAAACAATGTCATATTTGCATTAAAAATGTCGCATGACACTTGTCACAAACATGCACACCCCTTCAAGTAAAGTGTTACCGCACTATTAAAATAAATGTATATTATCATTGTGATTTTTTGCTGTTGTTGACCCACTTCAACGCTAACGCGCACATTATCCCGCCGCTCGCAGCTTGAATGACGGCTCGGCGTGAGCGTAGAGCCTGACTGACTGAGTCGCGCTTCTGAAGTGTATCTCCGACAGGCAGAATGGCAGCTCGGGGACGGACGGCGCTCTCGGATGACAGGCGAGACTTAAGGAAGGTTCCGGGTTTGAAAGGGGCGGGTCGGCCCTTATCAATACAATAAGGCCGGGGCTTAAATCGTCTGACAGCATTATGTCGCAGAAATGAGGCGTGAAAGTGCCCCGGAGAGCCCCATTGGTCAAGCCTTCCCTCTGTTCTGGCACTTGAAAGAGCGTGATGCCGCTTCTTTAAGCAGGGCTGAGTCTGCCCTTGTTTATTTATTTATTTCTTTTGTCTGCTGTAAGCGTTTCGCCACACTTTCGGAGGCGGGAAGCACAGGGACATCCTTCCTTTGAGCGCCAACATCACAGGGGGAGAGAGACGAGCGCTGAGAACTGTCACACTTGACACCTGGGATCGGCGCACCTGTCTCGGCAGCGCTAAAAAGACAGCTAGGCTACGACACGGTTACATATAATATACTGCTTAAAAGCTACTTTAAAGAATATCATGGGATTAGCATGATGGCAGCGTCTAATTCACTAGCATGGTATTCACTTTTCTATAGTAATACCATGGTGTATTTAAAGGAATAGTTCACTTTTGAAAAAACTTTTGCTGGTAATTTACTCGCCCCCGTGTCATCCAAGATGTCCATGTCTTTTTTTTTTCAGTTGAAAAGAAATTAAGGTTTTTGATGAAAACATTCCAGGATTTTTCTCCATATAATGGACTTCAATGGGGTCCAAAAGACAGTTTCAGTGCAGCTTCAAATGTCTTTAAACGACACCAGACGATGAATAAGGGTCTTATCAAGCGAAACGATCGCTTATTTCAAAACTTATTCCAAAAATGCAACTTTTCTAAGGACAAATGCTAGCCTTGCTCTATTCTGTGAGGCGCATTTGTAACGTCACGTAATACGTAATTACGCTCAAAAGGTCACGGGCGACGTAGCCGGAAGTACAGAATCAAAATCGTCCGACATCGTTGTTTTACCTTTTAATTCTTTTTTTTGTAAACGGTGTTTGAGTTAGTTTGCACGTTCAATCTATGCGTTCAACTTAAACACTGACTCTGTACTTCCGGCTACGTCGCCTGTGACCTTTTGAACGTAATTACGTATTACGTGACGTTACAAACGCGCCTCACAGAATGGAGCAAGCCTAGCATTTGTCCTTAGAAAAGTTACATTTTTGGAATAAGTTTTGAAATAACCGCTCGTTTCGCATGATAAGACCCTTATTCATCGTCTGGTGTCGTTTAAAGACATTTGAAGCTGCACTGAAACTGTCTTTTGGACCTTGGACCGTTTGGTCCCCATTGAAGTCCATTATATGGAGAAAAATCCTGGAATGTTTTCATCAAAAACCTTAATTTCTTTTCGACTGAAGAAAGAAAGACGTGGACATCTTGGATGACATGGGGGTGAGTAAATTATCAGCAAAAGTTTTTTCAAAAGTGAACTACTCCTTTAAGAAGGAAAACCCCCATGATTGACCTATGGCTAAGCCACGCCCCCTCCACACACAGGGGCGATGGCAGCGGTCACAGTTGGTGATTTTTGGAGACAGAAAGATTATACATCATCTTGAAGTCACCCTAAATATGCATTGGAGGGTTATATTAATCATTTTATTGATGAGAAGGTCGATGAAAAGCTTGTACATGTCACAGTGTAAACGTGATAAACCGCGTATCGTTGCTACAGTGTTTACATCAATCATTCAGCACAACATTATTGGTTATTTACTGATACGTTAATGAAGCTAAATGACATCATGTACAACGCAGCTAGAAGCTAACGTTAACGTTTTCTAATGCTAGGCTAACGTTAGCCTAACGTTACGTTAGAGATTTTAAAGATAACGCTCAAATACGTAGTTGACTTAACGTAGATCAGATGTAGACATCCTTGTTTATTTTATCTACGTTTAGTTGGTGTCACTTAATCACTTACCGCATCACTTAATCCAGAGCAGACGCTTATCTCGGTTGAGATGTTTGGGAAAGGGTAAAAACACACACCGTCGCCCAGCCTCTTGGGAACCTAGTGTCGGAGCTGCATGAACCCCATACACACCGTTCGACCATTTTACACTTATAATGACAATAAGAAACGAATGAAAACTGACTAACTGCAATACATTTCAATAGACGTGGAAGCAGAGAATGCGCGAGTGTATTTGGTAAGCTACGCACTGTGATTGGCTCATCGCGTTTGGGGGCGTGGCTTAGCCATAGGTCAATTCTAACAGTAGGGATGTATAAAATATTTTTTAAATGTCCTAGGTAGTGGGTTGTGTGGTGATTAGTTAGCTTGTAGCCTTGAATAATCAGGCAACATTAAAGCTAACTATGCTAATGCTAAAACAATTTTTAGTTGAAAACAAATGACAGTCTGTGTACAGAAATAGAGTACTTGTAAGGATATCATGGTACTAAAAACTCAGTCTGCATGTGTATATAAAGCAACAATTAGAAAACACTTTGAGTCCAATTTAATGATGCTACGTTAGCATGCTGTTTAGCACACGTAGGCTAATGACTAGTCATTATCTCGTTAGGTTTTCTAAAAACTGAAACTTTTGCAGTGGCAACATGTCCAGACACACTATATAGGCCATGTTTGTTTGTTTCTGACTCGATTGAAGTCCCTTAAGGTTCATTTAGCTCCTGTAGCCAATAACACCTGGCCCGCGGCGCAGTGGAGCTCGGCTAATGATAACGCCATGATGACTGACCTGCTCCCTTCGTCACCACCAGCTTGGGTTTGCTGCGGGCACCGTCTCCTTTGGTGGTGTAGGCGGCCACGGTGATGGAGTACGTGGTGTCAGGTTGCAGGCCCCCGATGACCATCTCCTGTGTTTAATGGACACCGAGATGAAGTTAGCACTATGTTAGGAACGGACTTTTGCAACATGTCACTAGCACAGGCACGGCGTCAGTTTCCCCTCTTTTCAATATCACTACCTGCACTCTTTTTTATTTTTATAAGAATATTAAAGGGATAGTTCACTTTGAAATTCATTTCTGGTATGTTTTATCTTACCTCAAGGGCATCCAAGATGGAGCTGTCTTTGTTTTCACAGTATTTTCAATTTTGATGTTTTTAGGTCAAACCGTTGTCTGTCAGTCATATAATAGAGGTCTATGGTCACCACCTCAAAGAGCGTGAGGTAAAAACAATATACCGTTGGTTTTCTCACACAAACCGCTCGTTTCGTGTCTTAGGCCATCAGTGTGTACTTACATTTACGAGTCATTAAATCATGTTTAATCTGGACTTCTCTGTGCTGCTCTTTGAGGTGGTGACCATAGACCTCCATTATATGACTGACAGACAACGGTTTGACCTAAAAATATAAAAATTGAAACGACTGCGTAAACAAAGACTCCTACATCTTGGATGCCCTTGAGGTAAGATAAAACATACCAAAAGGTGAACTATCCCTTTAAGCAAGCAACTTGTCACATTAATACAGAATGTGCAATCACATAACTTATGCGTTAATACATACATAACTTTTGATGTATATATACACACACACGCACACATCATAGTACATATATATATATAAACGTATATTTTTTATATTATTTATGTTAAATGTAATAATATTTAAATAAATTATACATAAATACATACTATATAGATTTCTACAGCAGTGTGGTGTGGCTCATTATTTTTGACATTTAGCGTTATCATTGGATTACGATTCCTGCTCATCTATAACACATGTCTGTGAATTAATTCAACAGAGCCCGAGCAAACAGACCGTCAGAATAATGAATTTCTCGGGGTCGGCTGGTAAGCTGTGCACACACACACACACACACACACACCCTTCAGACGAGCCCCTGTTTTCCAATATTTCAGGTGAGCTTTGATCAGCGCGCATGACGGAGGGGAAATTAATGGCAAGCGCTCGCGGAGAACAAAAATCACCCGCGGGTCTCTGAGCTTCACATCAAACCTGTTCATGCAATCTAAGGGTTACACAAATGATCCATTTATAAAAATAAATAAAACTCAGCGATACACAACATCACAGCACAAAACACACTCGTCCATGCCAGGCATAAAACAACCCTGATGTTACATCATTTCCCCACACACACACACACACCCGATGCATGCGTTGTTGTGGCTCATTATAAAAATCTGGCAATGCAAGGAAAACTCTTACAGCTGCTGATAGAACGGCGACGGCAGCCGGAAATAAACAGTTAACTGCCGTAGCTAAAGAGCGCAAAAATCACTAAGCAACAGTAAAGAGGACGGCATAGGGAATAATTTAATCATCAGACAAAATACAAAAAGAAAGTGATTTTAAAAAGAAAGAGAAGGGTTGATTTTAGCACTTAATGATATACAGAAACGATTTCAATGTCACATAACCTAAAACATAACATTAACTTTCTTATTCTGTCACGTAGTAACGACTACGGCAAATCAGCTGTTCTCCCGTAGTAGACGGTTACAGTAGAACGTCAAGTCGCGCATGCGCAATAGAACGCCAGAATGCCGTTGCCGTTCCACCAGAGGCTGTTGCTTAAAGTCCCGAGAGAAAAACTACATTTCTTATGGTTTGTGTTTGCATGATTTAGTCGTGGGACACACACACACTCATCGCCCGGGTCTGATGTAACATCACAGGTTCTCTGATCACAGCGAGCGAACTCTCGCCGACAGCCATACTCACGTATTCAGCTGTGTCGTCCATTTCCCACTAACGTCCCCCACCCGGGAGGAGAAAGAGGAGCGCGAGCGAAAGACAGACAGAAAGAAAGAGAGGAAAGCGTAAGACCAAACGAGGTAAAAGTGCCAAGGAAATGGAAGAGTGTTTTAAAGTAGGTCAGTGTGTGGATTAGGGTGAAAAAATGGTGGAGATTGAAGACGAGGCAGGAAATTGAGTGTCCGCCGCTATCTGAGCGTGTCATTCCTGCAGCTTTCATTTGCTTAGTACGAGTGTAAAAAACGGCGTGATATCAGATCAGAACTTCTGAAGAAATGTGCACAAATTAATTGGATGAGTAAATCACCTCACGAAACGCGATTTTGTGAATAATGTCAATATTTTCCTCAAAACGAATGAACAAGACGAGTATAAACTTGCAAACAAAAATGGAAAACATTTTACCTCACGATACTGAAATTTTTACACTGGGAATAATTTAGGGTGACCAACTGTCCTGTTTTCATATAACAATATAACAATTTTCTATCCATACAGAGGAGGAGGCATAACCTACTTTAAATGTATTGAAATTAATAAGGTATCTTTGAGTAAACTTCGAGTATCATTTGAGTTGGCCCACGTGTTTGCTGGGCCGAGTGTCCTGGTTTTTGGTAATCAAAATATGGTCACCCTAAATCATTTTTGAAAAGATAATATAACAATTATTCAATATGAGATGACCACATATTTACTAAACCCAGATAGCAAACTGACATTGAATCAACGTGGAAACATAACATAGAAACAACGTTGATCTGACATTGTTTTGCTCATCGAATTAACGTTGAACCAACGTCAGACGCGTCATTCTTTCAAAACTAACGGAAAATCAACTTGAAATCAACGCGTTGTTTCAACGTTATGAAAGCAAACCAATTTTCGATTTTCATTTAGCTTTGAAGAATGCCGCGTCTGACGTTGGTTCAACGTTAATTCGATGAGCAAAATCAACGTTGTTTCAATGTCATGAGAGACGTCGTTTCCACGTTGATTCAATGTCAGTTTGCTATCTGGGAAAGGATTTACGTATATTTACCAATATATAAAATGACACTTTTTACTCATGAAATTCAATTCACCATTTGCACTCGCGACCCAGATATCAACGGATTCCCACGACTGTAAACAATTCCATCATAAACACAAGCTTTACTCATGCTAATATCTGCCGCTGTGAGGAGAATAAGGATGACAGAAGCTTGTATTATAATTCGAGGTTGCAGCCAGAGGCGCTCGCTCGCTTTTTCTTCCTTCCTCTTGCCGCTTGTGCTTTTAAATCAAGTCTGAATTGTGACCGCAATGCTCAAGTGCCTCGTGTTTTAGTGGAGCTCTCGGGGCGCTTAATACGGCAGACATAATCAGCTTTTGTTGACTTTATCTATGACACTAGAGCCTTAGAGGTTAAACTTATTAGAGGTTTGACTAAACCGTGCAATTCTAATGGCTGATAAGATGTTTTGGGCCGCTTGTGGAGAGCATTCTAGAGGCTATAAAAGAACTTCACAGATTAAATTATTTATAAAAGGATTTTCATACATTTGCTGCAACTGTTTGTTTGACGAAACGTTAATAATCGCGCTAACATACCTGTGCATCGGCTAGCATGACGTCCTTGATGAGGGGCAGGCCGCGGGATTCGCCGTTCTCCACGCGGACGTAGTGCACCTGGTACCCGCGGATCTGCCCGTGCTGTTTCCCTGGCAACAGTGAGCGCCACATCACCTTGATGGCGGTGGAGTTGAGCACCTCGACCTCCACGCGGCGAGGGGGGGCCCCGGGAACTGCGGTGGGGCAAGAGATTGACTAATTGATCATTGAAACTAGATTTTCACAGTTTTACATACAGTAAACTCACTGATATGATGCAAGAGTGTTGCTTTGCTATACCTGACTTAGTGACGTTAAAACTTGTGTTTTAATTACACAAAATTACCACTCACTTTTTCATTTTTTTACCAATTTTTTACCGATTTTTTTCAGTTACGGAAATATTTCTTCCCTGATGAGATTCTGAACCACTAGGATTTGAAGGGCACACTTTTTTCTACATATCCACCAATTTTCATCCCAATAGGGGAACAAAAAGTCAATCGAAATTTGTGTTGCAGTTCCAGAAACCAATTCCGCCAATGACCTGAAAAAAAAAACTGGTCTGAAGTCAGTGGCGCAATTGTTTTCTGGGACTGCAGAATAGCACTAGGGAATGTTTGCGCCGAAACACGCCTCCTTTTTGTGCCGACGTGAGCCCAAAATATGAATACATGCGTGTACGAAGTCATTTGCGCCGGGTGCAAGTCTTTAGACACTATTATCGCTCATTCATCTACATATTTTTCACTTTCTACCAACTTTAGAGGCCAATTTCGAAAATATTTCAACCTTGATGAGACTCTGAACCACTTGGCCTTTTAGGGAACACGTTTTTCAAGCAATCTACCAATTTGAACAAATCTACTCCCAAATCACACAAATATGAGAAAAGGCAACAACATACATCTTTCATTACGTCTGAGTCTGATTTTTTAAAATAGTACCAATCCTAATTGAGCACCTCAGACTACACAAAGTCCCCACCTCAAAACGGCTGAATAGAAGCTAAGCCCTAGCGTCTCAGCTAGTATGTACATTCAATTATGTGAAACCAGGTTACTGATTAAGAGCCCATCTTCAGGGATATTTAATCAAATGTAATATCACACCCCCATATACCCGAGCAACCAATTCCATTTCACTATCATTCTTATCTGAGCTCTGATCAATTTGCTGTCTGCAGACCTGCGAGCTAATGAAAATCCTTTTATACGAGGCCTTGATGTTTAATACCTCCGGTCGTTCAGTCCTGCTGTAAGGAGGAGACCGATTTCCTGTATGTAAGACCCCATAAGGGGAAGCACTGTATTTTGGGGCCCGGCTCTCCCATATAAGACGATTTAACGGCACAAGTCTCCAAGGATGTGACTGTCGTAACATATCGCTACTCAAATAACTCCGTGTTGTGGGGTTGGTCAAATAAGATTTCCCATCGGAGGTCTCGGAGAAGCGTTCCCTCCCTCTTGACCCGCCTACAGCGGTTGACCAGCCCGTTAAAACCATCCATCGTAGGGCGGCCCACAGCGCTGTGCTCCGTATTGATTACTAGCTTGTATCCTGAACTAGCGCTGTCAGTCACAGAGAAAGACTGCTGTCACCAGGGAACGTCCGACACAATTTCTTACTCTGGCTAGATTTATTTCAGTGCTCATAAGCTGTCCGAGTGCTTTTACAAAGAGGTGTGACGGATGAAAATGATGCTAAGTCAATGTTTCCTCCATCACATAATGCAAGTCAATAGATCTGCTCCAAAAAGAGTGAGCTGTCCACCCAGACGGATAATCAACATTTCTCTCACCTCTTCCGCCATCTTAGATTTATTTTCTCACTAAGCTTGGCTAGAGACTATATAAGGTCACTGGAAAAAGAATGGGGAAATAAAACCAAATACAGTGTCACGATCCACCAAGGGCGTAGGAATGTCTTTGACATTGGTGTGGGGGGGGGGGGGACGGGGGGGGGACATATTGGCCACTATGAATCAACGTCTATCCCACCGCCATAATAGTAACATAACGTTTGGTGATGTAACGTTTGGTGATTGAACCAGATCATCTCCAGACAGTGCCGACCAAAAGTTATAGAATTCATAAAAACGCTGCATGTCGTTCTCGAATACCGCGCAAATTAATTTTACGTAACACTTGCAAAAACAGACATAAGGCTGTATCTCCGCAACGCTTTTACTTATTTAGACCAAACTTGGTACATGTCATCATAAGCATGACCTGAGGCTACATGCTGCATTTCGGCGCTGCGCCACCTACTAGTCCGGAGATATGAAAAATGGCTATTTTTGCTCATAACTTCTGAACAGTTTTTCTAAAAATCATAAAAATGGTCTTGTTAGATTCAGGGCGTCATGCCGAGTCGACCGATATCCAATTTTCCCAGATCGGCCATTTTGAATTATGTGCTAAAATGCTGTATTTTTTGAACGCATGAACGAATTGTTGCGAAACTCGGTATGGGTCATTAGTACGATGCCTTGAAGGAGCCTGAGAAGTTTCGAAACAGCGCCACCTCGTGGTGATTTTTTTTCAAACGCTTGTAACTTTGGGTGTGGTACACTTATTTTCACGGGAGTCATATTTTTGAGTTCCTAAATCGTTGCTGAGTCCAACAATACCAAACATGCTGGGTTTCGTCTTACGGTTGGTGTAGCATAGCGAGTTAGCGCAAAAAAAACCTTTGGCGATATCTTTGAAACCGCTGTTCCGATTGAGACGAAACCACCGTCAGAAAAACGGAAACATAGGTCGATAGCTAAACGCCAATGCCCAAATGCAAAAATGTTGATAGTAATGGGTAGTAAAACTCAATCAAAGTCACGTGTCAGTCATTTTTTATGTGTTTTTTCACATAAATGTCTATAACTCCGAAACGAATTGAGATATTTCCACCAAAATTAGCACACAGATGTATGGGCTCACTTTGAGGACACGTAAAAAAAATTGTGTGACTGAGCCTCTTGGTGGCGCTATAACATAACATAACATGCTATACTTGACGAATGCATTGGTGTAACATTACGAAACTCAGTTTGTGCCATCAGCACCATCCCCTGAAGGTACTCAAAAGATTTCAAGACAGCGCCACCTTTTGGTCAAAGTTATAACAACATTTCTAATAATTAATCTGTGTATTTTAATGCGACTGGTCTGAAGGTTTTTTCATCGTCACTAAACTCTGCGATAGGTTAGGTATGCAAGTTTTTGGGTGGGACACATGCCGCATTTTTCAATATTGAGGGGGACACGCCCCCCCCATCCCCCCTGTTCCTACGCCAGTGCGATCCACACACGGGAAACAGGGGTTAAATCCAAAAGCAGATGTTTATTTAAAGTGTAATCCAAAATCGTAAACCAGTCCAAGCAAGGGTCAAAATCCAAAGGCAATCCAACATATACAAGAAACAAACCAAGAAGCAAAGAAAACAGAACACCAGAAGTGGCGCGATAAATGCAAGGACTTCATGGCACATGGGTTATATACACAGGGAATTGTCAATGATAATGGGGAATGGCAGAGTGCAAAGATCAGTGATGAGGAACAGCTGAGTACAATGATAAGATAAGGATCGTGGGAAATGTAGTTCATGAAGTGAATGACACCGTGGGGAAGGAGGACATCTAGTGGACACCTGGGGAACACAAACCAACACTGTGACATACAGAGGCCTTAGAAAAGTAAGCGTTACAGTAAAGAACAGATTTTTTTAAGCATGAAAACAGCTGATTAATTTTTCATGTTGTAAGATTGTATTGTTTTGCGTTAATCTTAAAACAAAATCTTAAAACGCTGTCTAGGTTGGACATTTAAATGGCTTTAAGAGGCCATTTTACATTTTTAATTTTGCTGACCCTGAACTATCTAAAAACAGCCAAAACTTGTAAATTTCTATAAAATATCTAAAAATAACAAAATAAACATACTTGAGAAGCAACTTTGCATAAGATATTAATACTTGTTTTCAGAGAATATGCCATTAATACAAGCGTATTTTTGTCTTCACTGGCAAAAACAATTCTAATCAATCTAAACTATCAATGAAAACGTCTTGTTACGTATGGTAACCCTCGTTCGCTGAGTAGGGAACGGAGACGTCTCGTCATAGGAGTTTCCAATGAATTGGAATCACACTATTCGTTGTAAAACTAATTCGTTGGAAACTCAAATTGGGATCACACTATTCGTTGGACAACAAATTCGTTGGAAACTCGTCGTAGGAGTATCCAACGAATTGGGATCACCCTATTCATTGGAAACTCAAATTGGGATCACACTATTCGCTGGAAAACAAATTAGTTGGAAACTCGTCGTAGGAGTATCCAACGAATTGGGATCACACTATTCGTTGGAATAATAATTCGTTGTAAACTCAAATTGGGATCACACAATTCGTTGGAAAACAAATTTGTTGGAAACTCGTTGTAGGCGTTTCCAACGAATTGGGTTCACACTATTCGTTGGAAAACGAATTCGTTGGAAACTCCTCCGATGACACGTAGGAGTTCCCTAACGAAAGGGAACAAGTCTTAGTATCAAACAGTGTTGCTTCACAAGTAAATTAAAACTCAATTAAATTTGTAATTATTAAATTGTTTGAAGGTTTCAGTACCATCCTCGTCCGTGCGGCAGAGCAGCGGCTCGCTCTCGGGGCCCGGACCCACGCTGGTGGAGGCCGCCACGGTGACTCTGTACATGGTCCATTTCTCCAGCCGCTGGAGCTCGATCCGGTCGGAGGTGGACGGCACCGCCGGCTCCTCCACGGGCTCCGCGCTGACCTCGGCCCCGGCGCCCACCACCGCGTAGCGCACTATGTACCCGGCCAGCGCCCCGTTCTGGCTCTCGGCCGGCGGAGGGCGCCAACTTACCAGCAGGGTGGTGGAGCTGGAGCTGGAGCACTTAATGTCTTGAGGGGGGGCGGAGGGCTCTGCTCAGGTTTGGGAAGGGGGAGAGGAGGGGTGGAAAACAAAAAACGAAAAGATGGGAAAGAGAAAAAGAAAATGATAAAAGGGAAAACCCAACTGAAAAAATAAAACAAGCAAAGACATACTGAAACGCAAGAAAAAACGAGGAAAACAAAGGGCGAATGCAAACAGAAGAGCTTGGTTTTGAAGGGGTCGAGGTGTTTCGCATGCATAAATATGAAGCATGAAGGTTTAACTTTGGCTTGATTTTGATGTCAAAGATCTAGAAGAAACGCCAAAGATTTTCTGTTGTATTTTTGGGGTCATTTAATCTTGGTTTTTTCTGACCTCCTTGATATATGAACTTTTCTCAAGTTAATGTATCTTTATTTAAGGAAGTTTCGACAAAAAATACTAAGAAACTACAACCGCCAGTATGCGAGCCAAAGATTTAGCCCATCTTTCACAGTAAATACCCTGGGCTCTCAGGATATATTTCCACCATGAGAGGAAAATAGATCACATTATTTGCATGTGAATGAAGGCCATTCATTGCGGTATTTCGAGGCGTTTTTGTCGAGCACTTTCCCGGCACATATCAAAGATTACAACGTCTGTGCAGTTCTAAATCAATATAAAAGTCTCGTTTGAAATGCACAGAGTCCATGCCTACTAAATGCTTGCGCATATGGATGTATTACACCGTTTAAAGGCCTGTAACATTTATCTCCATTGTAAATTAAACATTAAAAGTTACTCTGTCACACTGATCCCTGGAGCTATAAGTAACACAAATGAATGAGGGGGAAACGGACAGATGGGGATAAAACATATTTGTGACTGAAATTCAAATGGATGATGAGCACCGTCGTTGGAAAGCAAAACAAAATCATTCAAAACAGATTACAGGAAAATGAGCAAAACTCTCTGCGAAATAATGGCTGGAAAAGAAAATGTTAGGACCCGAAATGTCAACTCAGAAGAATCATGGAAAGCCACCAAGCTTCAAACAGAAAGGAAAACCATTAAACACGGCAAAAACCAAAACAGAACAAAAACACACAAAAGCATTTTCCTGTACATTATACGTACCTGACATCTTCAAACACTAATTTTTAAAGACTTTCTTACCACAAGCACCCGATTCGAGGGAGACTATATTTCCCTAGATTCGGTTGGGTTCGGCCCTCTCCCTCTACTGCTGAGCTAGCCGAATACAGCTCAATTCAAACTATTGACGGTCAATTTGTTGAGTCATTTGGCCTATAATGTGGATGTTTTTTGGGGCTGGAGGGAGAGAGCGTTCTCTGTGCTTTCATCAGGCTGCACTATACACTGTTTACACTAGCCTGAGGGTCCACAAGATTGAGATCAGGGTGCTAGCACCTCGCTAACATCCACCCACCTTAACCGAACTCTTACTTTACTTTTCCGAGTAAAAACGTTCCCTGTTGCGCTTTGTTTGGGAAATAGTTAACCGACTTCATAGTCCCATCACCATAGGTGTCACCTGTCCCAGAGTTCAGCGAGCAACATTATTCAGAGCCCTGTTTATTCACCAAATGGGCTTATTGGATTAAAGTTTTACAGGATTTTCATCTTCCGTTTGAAGATATATTTTGAAGATGTACTTCCTCTCTTGAAGAGTATTTTGCATTCAGTTCTTGTAAAACCGAAGCTGGTTGGAGTGCCAAATGAAAGTTTGATATCTGAGAGTTGCAGAACTACCTGAAGGTTTAGATTCATGATTCTGGGACTGTATTATACATCAAACACAAAAAGAGTCTTGGATTTCAGTGTTCGAAATGAAATCACTCTTCAAAACCAAATGGGCCAAATGGTGGCGCTGCTACAAAAAAAGCCAACTGAGAGATGAAAACAACTGCAATTACAGATTTGTTTGGATAAAAAGGTTCATGAGCCAGATGCTGTCGACTTATTCGATAGGACCTCCAAGACGTTCTTGCACCAAACCCAAGATTGGTGCGGAAACCCTTGCCCCCAGTTTGTGGACCCTCGATGACCATGTTTGAAACCTGAGCATCACTCAATAGCCATTGACTCTTAAGCACACTTCCCAGAATGCCACCCACTTGGTCAAGGCAGGAGTGTCTATCTCCACTTACCCTCAAGGGTTTGGACACATCCCCCAATATTTAACATCCTCCAGGGTATGCAAACAAGTGTTGGGGGACATGGAGGGTGAGGTGAGTACTCTCTGCCGGACCATCGAAGGGGCTTTGGTTCGTAACTTGGTTCGTAACCTGACTGAGCGTCAACTCAACAGCACTGTACCAAAAAAGAAACAAACACAATACACTTTCCGTTCACGCCTTCATGAGGAAGACCAGTACGCCAATTGGTGTAGTGCAAAATAGACCTACGGCAAGACTAAACGTCTTGGAAACTCTCTGTGAAGATGATTCTGGCTGAACCAATTCCGCTGGTCACTTCTACGCCTACTTATACGGATTGGTTAAGTGGCCGATTTCTGAAAGATGGGACGGCAGACTGGGCTTCCTCCGAACGGCGGTCACTTACCTCACAGGAATCCACACTGTAATGTTTATGTGTTAAGTTGGGGGGCAGTTGTGCTAAATTGCTTCTAACTGTCCGAGCTTGTCGCCTCCCTGACCTTGTTATGGGTAAATCTACACTACTTTAGTTTCTGCTCAAGGGAAGACGTCGGCAGATGTAGTGAACCACGCCTGTGGGACAAAGTCCCATATCTCAAGCAAGAAGCCTACGGTCATCCCGCCGGGATACTTACTCTCACCTTTAGTTTAATGGATTTGCTTTGGCAATGCTAAGTGCTGTTGCTGTATGTTGAGCTTGTCAAGGAAAATGAAACCCCGACAGGAAGAGCAAAAAAAAAAAAGAGCTGTTTCCTCGAGTAAACCAAACTGAAATCAAATCAAATGAACTTAAACCTGTGTACTGAACAGAAATGAATTAAAACCAGGTAACGTCAAGCTGGAGCAGGTGAGCTTTAGTTTCATTTCTGGAGTGAAACACAGAAGAGCTAGAAAACAAAAGGGAGGTAATAAAAAAGTGCACTGCATTGTTCCAGAATACAATACATGAAGACACAAAACAGCGGGACGGACATATAGAGATGGAACAGAAGAGGACACACAGCGTATGACGTGCATTAACAGAGCGCCCCCCAGGGGTAGGAGGAGGTAATACATGCATTCAGTGCTTGCTCTCTCAAGCTCAGGTGTTACGTTGTGTGTCATCCACTCAACCAACCCCATCCCACCCATTCTGCACAGGTAGAAACAGAAGATGAGTTAAAATGGGCCACGACTGCCATGGCTTTCTGGCATCGTCCGCCCACTGTAAGTTTATCCAAGTCTAGAGGACTAAACCTGCAACAGGGACCATTGAACAAAAGGAGGATTTAAAGTCAACATGACAACTAAATAAAATCCAATTCCTTACTCAAGCACTCAGAAATGCATCAGATTACAGTTCTGAACGCCATTTCATGTTGACTTTAAAAAAATGCCGAGTTTTGAAAGGTTTTTCTGTGTAATTTATTCAACAATTGAAAGCATCCGATAATTGATTACAGTAGTGTAATAATTCTTGTCTAATCCTAGGGCTGTCAAACGATTAATCGCGATTAATCGCATCCAAAATAAAAGTTTGTGTTTACATAATATATGTGGGTGCACTGTGTAGAATTATTTTGTATATATATATATATATATATATGCATGCATGTATATTTAAGAAAAAAAAATTATTTATATATAAAATATTTATATTTACATATCATATAAATTATATGAAGAGTTCAGATGCAAAAGCCTCTAAGTGCCATTTGAAAATTTCTTCTAGAATGATAATTTTTTCTCAAGCTTGTATATTTAAGTTCAGCAATTTCACTTAAATGACAATTAATAGGTAATCGTCATTGCCATTTAAGTGAAATTACTGAACGTAAATATACAAGCTTGAGAAAAATTATCATTCTAGAAGAAATTTTCAAATGGCACTTAGAGGCTTTTGCATCTGAACTCTTCATATATAAATCTATATACATGAAAATATTTCTTAAATATATACAAGCATGTGCAATTATACACAGTGCACCCACATATATCATTGTAAACTAAAAATTTTAACCGTTGTAAATCGTTGTAAACAAAAACGTTTATTTTGGATGCGATTAATCGTTTGACAGCCCTAAACTATATTAAAACAGTTTTAGTTAACTAAATATAAAATACATGCGATCCTGGTATACAAGTTTGAGATTTTTTTGGGGGGGTTTAACTTCTCACTCAAACTGTTATGCTTAGAAACCAAAGCCTCGGTATTATACAAGAAAAGACTGTAAAATAGATGGATTTGGACCCCTCTGTTTGGACCCTCACACAAGTACCTGCAATATTTTAGCGCAGGGCACACGCCACCTGCAAGGTTCCCCACAAGCATTGAGGATTTCATGATGTGACTCAGCGAGGGTGTATTTTTAGGCCGGAGGCTTGAATAATTCAGACGGCCTCCCAGTGTAAATGCTGACTACCTGCAGGCGCCAGCGGCCACAGCCTGAGCCGCTCTCAGTAATACACAGTGAGGGACTAGATGTGGTGGAAAGCCATGGCAGACCCCAGAGTCAATAATATTTTGTGCGCTTCAGTCGCATGGGAGGAAAAAAGTGCATTTGCCGCTGTTGACACATGAAAAAGAAATACGAACACAGAAGAAAGAAGGGAGCACGCAGGGGAGCCGAACGGCACGCTCGCCGCAGATCAATCAGCCCACATTGATTTGTTTGTTTCACATGTAGGAAATCTCTGAAGTACATAACTGTGACATAGAGAGACCCAGATGAAAGAATCACCAAACAAAGAAGAAAAAGAAGGGTCCTGCCAAGGGGCGAGGAATCCATTAAACTAAACAACACGGGTCATTTAAAAGTTTAGGTTTACAATGGTTAAAACATCAAAGTCAGAGGCTCTCAATCATGCAATGCAAGCTGAACCAAGTCTTGCATAAACTGGTGCATTGAACTGAATGCAACAATTTACACAAATTTGTTCTGCTCGTACTTATCTCCTCTTAAATAAACAACTCGTCAACATGCACAGAAAGAAATATTGAAAAATCATCAAGTCATTTGGAAATATTCTCAACAAAACAATGCCGCCTGCATGTAGCAAGACTCTCTTCTGGCTCAAAGGTGATGCATAAACCAACCCAGAACCTTTCAAAACACTTATCTGACACCATTATCATTTACTCTTGACATTTCTAGAGTCGATAGCCAATATCCCTGGATTGGGAATCGGGGGTGAAGGTTATCGTGGCCCTTTCAAACAGTGACTTGTATCCCGAACCCATCGAAAGCTCAAAATAGCCATTATGTCTTGGCATTTCTCAAACACAATACAATATTAGACCCTTCATTCGCATCCTTAGGAAAGGAAATGGACTACATACTGGCTTGGGATGTCCTTTGGGATATTTCATTGGTGAAAGCTCCAATGCCCTTGTTGGAGACGGCAGCCAGAGAGAAGTAGTACTCTGTATTAGCGCGTAGGCCCTCCACCACATAGGAAGAGGTTGGACCGAATGTTTTCTTTACCTGTTCGGTGGGAGAGGATAAGAGTTACTTCAAAATTGGAGCAGTCCTGACAATGTATTTGGGAAGGTTTGTTGTTGAGAAGGCACCTGAGGTCCTTGACTGCCCTCTTTGTAATGGAGTTCGTAACTGATGATTCCCTCTTTCTCGAAGGCTGGTTCCCAAGTAAGCTCGACAGCCGTGTCTGACACCTCGCCGACTTGGAAGTTTGTCGGCTGTCCGGGGACTACAAATGGAGCCGGTGTTGACAGTTTATTAGACATGAAATTACATTTTTACAACTGCATATTTAGTGAAAGTGTTGGAGAAAACATTTACCCCCATGGCAACAGGGTTAGAACAATGTACTTGTACATACCCAATCGCCAAACCCATCTTGCTACTGTACATTTTTAACTCCCCAACAGTAAAATTTCCAAATGCTAAACATCTTCAGCTAACCCAAGACTGACAACTAGAGCTGCACGATTGTGGACAAAATGAGAATCACGATTTTTTGTTCCCGATTCTGAACCGACAATTAGAGGTTCTGACGAAATATGAATTGCTGCAATGAACATTTCAATAAAATTGGTTTGAATAAGGCCGGATTCACATATAGAAACGCGCAGAAAACGCTGGGCGCGACGCATTCTCCTTTTCCCAAAGCGCTAGGGCGGTTGCGCTCCGGTTGGTTCATGTCACGTGACCAGTGGTGGAGGAAGTGCTGAATCTCAGTACTTAAGTAAAAGTACAAATATCCAGATAAATATTTACTTTAGTAAAAGTAGAAGTAACACAATGACAACCATACTTAAGTAAAAAGTACCTGATTTTAAATGTACTTTAAGTACTTGCATAACAATTTATTCTCTTAATGTCTATTTTCTAATGATTAATAAAACATTTAATTCTAACTCGTCCCACCTAATACTCCTATAATGATGTTCAATAATGATGGAAAAAAAATAGTTGTCATCATTTCTGAAACAAGCTTGCAATTAGGCAAGCTACGCATCATGCTTATCCTTACTATATGTTAATAACTATGTTTGGCAGTAAACGCGATTAATTTATGGTGTAATTATGAACCTCTTGGCTTGCCGTAATCCTAACCAAACGTATATTACAAAAAGTGCGTTTCCTATGCACGTAAAAACAAATTTTCGCGTATAAATTGCACGATAAACGCACTGCGTGCGAGACGCATTTAGTGTGACCGGGTTGATGTATCTATGGCAACCAAACGTCACTGGTGAGACAAACGTGCAACGAACGGACGGTCAAATTACGTTTTGGTACGGGAAAAACTGATCAGAAAATGTAATGAAAATGTAACAGAAGTTGTAGAAATGTAGTAGAGTAGAAAGTATAATAATTGCTGCAAAATGTAACGAAGTAAAAGTAAAAAGTATGCACTATTTATTTTACTTAAGTAAAGTAAAGATACGTGAAAAATTTACTTAAGCAAAGTGCACGTGACCTACTGTGGGCTTATGGTGCGCTTGCGGCATTCTGAAAAGTTGAGATGTTTTTATCGCGATGAGGTGACCGCGTCGCTTCCATTATGAGCGCGCATACCGCGCGCCTACATTTGAAATAACGAACTTGAGCGCGCAAAAGATGCGATATGTGAACAGGCCCTAAATCATTCAATGACAATGACTTTTTAACAGTCACTCGTCGCCACCTGCTGGTGTTAGGGTGACCACCCGTCCCGCGTAGCGCGTGCGTGCACAGTGTTTGAAGCCCAATTCATGCGTCCCGCAAATTGAGACCGTGTCACGCATTATCAATGCTTGCTCAAAAAAAAAAAAAAAAAAAAAAGTCGGTCAGTCTATATCCTCGAGACCCAGGCAGCCAATCGATGTGCCTGAACACGTTCACGTTAATGAACTCGTTCATATTTTGGGTGAACTGAACGTATTGTTTTACTGCCTGTACTGCTAACTCGTTCATTCTGGTGTCTGTGAACGCACGCTCTCTCGGTTTAACTTCGTTCAATACGGTGCCAGATTTTTATAGAGCCTTCCAGGCGAAAACCCGGCTAAAACTCACCGTAAACAGGGCTTAATATGTAGCGAAAAAACACCCAATCTGGCAACACAAGCCACCAGTGTCGCATCGCGGCTGCCGTCGACAAAGGCGTCGTATGATCAACGGATTTTATAACAAGGTCGGTGAGGATGGGAAAAATCTTACATTTCTGTGCAAACTTTGAACTGAACTAGTTCATTTTAAAATGTGTGAACTGAACTTTGAACTAGTTCATGTAAAAAGTGAACTTTCCCAACACTGGTTGCCACTCGCGTGACCTGCTGACTAGGTTGTTGTCAACCTTTTCATTGTTGTCATGACAACGCACCTTCTCGTTCCGTGAAGTTGCGAGTTTAGACTTTTCCTTTTTTTTAAACCACTATCAGTGAGTCTGCCCATGGGGTGGGGGCACCGCCGCGCCAAGCAGTTTCCCACATTGTCCCTCAGAAGCATACCCCTTGTCCCCCCTTGGGCTTATTACCAGGTGGTCACCCTAACTGGTGTAATGCTGTAGGCTAATCGATACAATTGTTATTTGAAGCACCATGTTACTTTCAAAAGGGGATTTGCTCTATTTCATTCAATGCAGCTCAACTGACAAGAGTGTGAAACTCACTTTGCTATATTGTTAACTCGCTGAACACTGACAGTTCTCAACGGCTAAACTGACTATGCTACACCTTTAGCTCACCCGATACAAACATTTCTGATAGTAAAACTCACCTTGCTCAACTCAACTGAAAAAAGGACACTAAAAATTGACAAACAAACCTCCTTGAAGCACTTTGACATGAATGGGATCTGAGAAGGGTCCGTCTCCTACAGACGTGAAGGCCAGCACTCGGATGGTGTAGGTCTCGGAGGGCACCAGACTCTGAATGGTGGTGATCACGCTGTCCTGTACGTTGTGGATTTGCCACATGCTCATGAGCTGAGATGGGTCCATGGTGAAGTACACCCGATAACCCTTGATCTGTCCATTGGGCTCCTCGGGTTCATCCCAGCGTACCATCATGGTGTTCTGGGAAATAATACGGGCTTGGATATTTCGCGGTGGGCTGGCGGGAGCTTGCTCCCCAGTCCTAGCCTCGACTGGTTCACTGGGTGGGCCCTGCCCAATGGTGTTAAAGGCGGACACGCGGATCTCGTAATCGGTGTTGGGAGAAAGTCCTCCAATACTGTAGCGAGTGGTGGTGATGGAGTCCACGGTCTCGAACTTGCTCTCGGGAGACTTGGCGCGATACTGGATGATGTAATGGGAGACGGGTTCAGGGTTGCCACTGTCCCAGGTGATGGTTATGCTGGTGGCGGTAGTTTCGGTCACGACAGGAGTACCTGGAGGTTTCGGCAAAGCTGCAGAGGGGGATAATAAAATACTATAGTCAATACTGGAACTAGAATGTACGGAAGACTCGTGATTGCGACTATATATCACGCACTTCTGACTTTATATCTCGCAATTGCGACTATATATCACGCAATTCTAACTTTTTAACTTGCAATTGCGACTATATATCATGCACTTCTGACTTTATAGCTCGCAATTGCGACTATATATCACGCAGTTCTGACTTTATAACTCGCAATTGCGACTATATATCACGCAGTTCTGACTTTATAACTCGCAATTGCGACTTTATATCACGCAATTCTAACTTTTTAACTTGCAATTGCGACTATATATCATGCACTTCTGACTTTATAGCTCGCAATTGCGACTATATATCACGCAGTTCTGACTTTATAACTCGCAATTGCGACTATATATCACGCAGTTCTGACTTTATATCTCGCAATTGCGACTTTATATCACACAATTCTGACTTTATATCTCGTAATTGCAACTATATATCACGCAATTCTGACTTTATAAATCGCAATTGTGACTTTATATCTCGCAATTCTGACTTTATAGCTCGCAATTGCAACTATATATCACGCAATTCTGACTTTATAAATCGCAATTGTGACTTTATATCTCGCAATTCTGACTTTATAGCTCGCAATTGCGACTATATATCACGCAATTCTGACTTTATATCTTGCAATTGCAACTATATATCACGCAATTCTGACTTTATAAATCGCAATTGTGACTTTATATCACGCAATTCTGACTTTATAGCTCGCAATTGCGACTTTATATAATTCAATTCTGACTTTATATCTCGCAATTGCAACTTTATATCACGCAATTCTGACTTTATAACTCGCAATTGCAACTTTATATCAAACAATTCTGCCCTTATAACTCACAATTGTGAATTAATATCACGCAATTCTAACTTTATAACTCGCAATTGTGACTATATATCACGCAATTCTGACTTTATAACTTGCAATTGCGACTTAATATCATGCAGTAACTCGCAATTGCGTGTTATAAAGTTAGAATTGCGAGATCTAAATATGCAATTCTGATATGAAAAGTCAGAATTGTGAGATAAAAAGTCACAATTACTTTATTTATGTTTAATTCTGTAGTAGAAACAAGCACTTGAAATATGGCTTAGTTTGAGTTTCTTTAGACCAGAGGAACCCTCGATACAATTGATTCTTACACTTGACAATGATCTGGGACACAGCCTCAATGATGCCCAGGCTGCTCATGGCCACGCAGGTGTAGTTGGCCGACTCGCGGACGCCGTTTAACTCCAGAACGTTCCTGCCCACTGGCATCTCGTCCTCAGGCGTCAAGTCCTCCGAGTTGAGCATCCACTTGACGTAGGGCATGGGCGAGCCCACGGCGACGCAAGTGATGTTGACGCTACCGCCCGGCATGATCTCGTGGCTGGTGGGCAGGATGGAGAAACGTGGAGGCACGCGACGAACTGCAAATGGCGGAGGAATAGCGACAAGAAAAAGAGAAAGAGAGAGGTAACAAGACACGTCGATGAAAACAAGCCTTTCTTTAGAACGTACATGTTGTCTAAAGAGAGGACAAGAAATTATACAAATGAGACTAGACAACTTCACTTTAAAATAACGATAAAGTAACTAAATTAACAGAACTGCTTCACCAACAATATAGATTGACATTAAAGCAACAAATTCATAGCAACAAGGTTCCATTGACCAATATTTGACCCATCACAGCACGATTAATTGCACAAAAATCTATTACGAGTTTCTCATCTTTTAAAATTAGATCTCTATGTGACCTGTAACTACAGTAAACGAAATGAAAACCGTGCATTACTGTTAAAAGAGTGGAAAAGCTCTACGGTGTGAACAGAGAATGCTCTTTGCTGTAGTTGTATAGAAAGTGTGACGTACGAAACTCTACCCTACATATGTACATACACGTTGGTACGTACATACACTGGTAATGGTAAGGCCCTCCAAGAGGGACTAAAGATGAGAAACCTTAATCAGATTTTTGTGGTTGAGAGTAGATCAACTGGACAAAGCCTTTTAAAAATCTGACACGCTTCCATTGATAGATGCAGCTGTCATTTTCACAGACATCATGCAGAAATAGGTAGAGGTCAACCAAAAGAGTAAATGGGAACAATAAAACCAGAGAGAAGTATTTGAGATAAAATGCATAGAGGAATATAACTGAAGGGTCGCTAGCATGCCCAGACAAAAGACAACTGGAGAGAGGGGAAAAAAAAAGAAATATAAGAGAATAGAACGCGCAAAAGAGCGAGAAAGAGGAAGAAAGGGAAGGGTTGGGAAAAGGAACGAGGGGGGAAACCCACTTCAATGCAGAGAAAGGCTTTTTATCCTCTCCAGCCAATATGACGTAATGTGACAGGGTTGTATTGTCACATTGCAGTCCTGGCTAGACGGAAACTCTGGATTCAGTCAATAAGTAGCTGTCAGTTCAACTCAACTAACTATCAAACACACACACACCAATAAAACAAAGAAAATTGACCAAATAAGTGCACATGACTGGTACAGATGCTAGTCTACAGTGATGACAGCGAAGCAACTCAACTACTGAGATGCCAAACCTACACACGAGAGAAAAGATGAGTAGGGGGGAAAGGTTTGGATATGAGATATGGCGTGGAACAGGCTTTTGTTTTTATAGCCTGTCTGGCATGTTCATTCTTGGTAACCTTGCTTTTTTGATGCGACTCATTGAAAGTCAAGGTCTGACGGAAACTTAAATGACTCTGTTCCAATACCGAGTCAGCTGCCCGGGCAGTTCCCTTCTGAGGCAACATTCTAAACAACAGCGAATACTGTTGAGTTTGACGTTAGCATGTTGCTAAGCTAACGGCATTGATTGATTCCGTGATTGACCTCTCGCAATGCCGATGTTAAGTCGCTGATGAAACGTTGGATGTGTTTTTGATATCCAAGTATCTTGCAAGGTTTTGGAACAGAGCAATGGACTCTAGAGTGAGAGTACAAACACGTAGAACTTCACGGTTTGGTTTCCCCAAGAATCGTCAAGGCATCTGCCTCACTGACGTCGGTGGAAGCGAATGACCAATGAAACGGGGAGTAGGATGTGCTAGGTGTGTCCTAAGATGGCGGGTGGTGAGGGGGTCATGCCTCATTTACATTTGGCAAGAGGAGAAAGAAAAGACAGAGAATGTGTGCCGAAACAACCAAACCAAATGGAAATTAACAACCCCACACAACGAGGACAGAAACAACAGGTAGAGACAGGGCACAAGGCAGAACAAGACCTCGGCTGCAAGACAGCAGGGGGTGGGGGAGGGGCGGACTGGAAGGACAAAATGGTGGATGCACATGTGGGACTGGAGACAGAAGGGAAATAACACAGGGAGTGAGAGGTGGGGATTGGGGCAAAGAGGAGACTGTAACCCTGGGCCAACTGGAGCAAAAGTCTGTGGGTTTGACGTCTCACACAATGGGGCTTGAAATACACGATTAAACGTTCACCATAGCCTTGGAGTCCAAGAGCATAAAGTCGAAAAGCACAGTTCGAGCTTAAGAATTTAAAATTTGGCGCCAAAATACTTTTTAAATAATAACAGGCCCAACTATTACATTCTAAATTCCGAATGTTCACGGTTCATGATCACGCCAGTTCAAGTTAACTTTATGTCATTAGTCTATAATATATCTTATATGAACAAATTTGTTTTTATACGAATTTTGATATTTTTGGTACGAAGGTTCAGCTCTATCCACGGCATGAGGATGAATATAATTTTACACTTTTAATTGCAATTTTAGCGTGCAATTACTTTCCGTAATAAACGTCACGCCACAACTGCATCCGAAAATAATTTGCATTGAACACTGGTCACTCGACTTTAATTAAGGAAAACTTCTTTTTGATTTGTTGAGAAAACAAAAACAACAACAACAACAGCAAATTAAACATTGACATACTAAAATGACCCCTCCCCCCATGTAAATGCATACTGAACAAATGTTCAACAAAGGTGAAAGAGCAGCCCACGATTTCACAAGGTGCATGCATGACTGAAGGAAAGACAACAACAGGACGGCACCAAACTATCCTACCGCTACAGTCAACACATATACATTTGTGGCATGCAACCCTCCCCAAAGTGCAGCATTTTTAGGGAATCCACACAATTGGTGAATTCGTCACAGCACACACATATAATCACAGTGCAGGAGTGTCTTTAAAGGCTCAACAATGAGCAAACACAGTGACAATGACAAGATGAGCGTGATTCTTCCAGCAAATTAACGATGGACAGGCCCAGACTGCTGATGCCGATTTAAACAGATTTAAGTCAAAAGAAAATGAAATAAACAAACATGCTTAATATGTTCTGCTGGCACATGGGTGATGCAACATTTGGCCGTTCTTAAAACCTAATCGCTTCCTAAGGCCAGATTGGTCGAGCAATGGCGGGCTGCAACCTTTCACCTTGTGAATTATTCCCAATCCTGTAACATTCTTGAATAACTCAATCCGATTATTTTCAAAAACGAAACAACCTTTTGAAAAGATGCAGAATAGCTCGGCGACTTCAAAGTCACTGGCAACACTTTACGGCTGAATAAACTGTGTCGAAGTGGGGAAATCATAATGTTTTCAGATGCATGTCGACATTTACGACTGGCGCTATCACCGCATCGGCTTTGAAATGCCATTGCACAAAGCTTTATCTAAGTCCTGACACATGGTCCTATAGCTTGACGTTTGAATATAGAAACGGTCCAATTGGACGGAGCGATCTCTTTGAGGTCCAGAGTCAAAATCCCATTTCAAGCCCATTGTGGAGACAACTCGAACAATGGACAGAGAAAGACCAAATAAATAAAAAGGCCAAAGTGTCCCACTCCTTGTAATTCCTGACTAGGACGTTTCAAAGGTGGCCATTTTGGTGAGACAGTCTGTCCAGCCCCAAAATCAAGGTAGGAAGGGAAGCCAAAATAATGTGCAGCCTTTAATGTCACATTGAAGCTGAGATTACACCCTGTTTGATGTTCAAAACCCACAATAATCCATTTGGCTTGAAGGTAGGGAGGCCATTTGCATGCAGTCGGCAGGGGTTCCCCATATTAATACGCGCACCTCCACCGCTGCAATGCAACAGAGCCACCGTAGGGGGTTCAGAGCATTTGTAAAGCACTACAACCCCTGATCATCTGCTATAGTGGGGCTGCATTGCTTTTGAGAGTTTGGACCAAAACCTGCACCATTACAATACACTAAACACTTGTTTATTCAAAGTAGGCTTTGAAAAGTAGGGTGTGATCTAGCTTGCATTTCTATTTTTACCCTGAAAGAGCATGCAAGGACATGCAACACGACCCAAAGTGGTGGCATCACATGCATCTACATGCGCATACACCGAACATAATCATGGCGTACGGTACAGCTCAAGTCTTCCAGCATCTCAGAGTGGATCTGTGAGGGTTTCCTCGTGTCGGGCACTAATTGATATTAATATGCCCTGGAAACATTCTGGGATCTTGAGTCCTTAATATTTTGGCTTTGTCACCGCATTATGGGGAGTTGAATGGCGGAACGGTTAAAAAGCTTCATTGAAAGATTAGCAACAATGAAAGATTAGCGACTACACTGAAACAAGAAGAATCTTAATTTCTGTTATTAATTCGGTGCGGAAAAGAAGGGAACTATTGTCGAGGCTCGGGGGGGATTTCGCCATACGGAAGCAATTAACTGTCATGCCTGATGTAGACGGCTAACAAGGAGACTGTCGAGTTAAAAAATATCCATTGAAATTTGAAAGAGCGGCAGCAAATGTTTTTTTTTGTTTGTTTGTTTTTAACATTAGCAACCCCTGCTGAGAAACATATCTGCCTAAGCTGGTTTCAGCTGGTCTCCCAGGGAATTTGGACATTTCTTTTAGCTGAATCTTAGCTGGTAAAGCTGGGAGACCAGCTAAAACCAACTGAACGCTAGCTTGACTAGCTCGGCCGACCTGGGAGACCAGCTTAAACCAGTTAAAACCAGTTAAAATCAGCTAAAACCAGCTGAACACTAGCTTATCTAGCTCGGCCAGCCTGGGAGACCAGTTTAAACCAGCTTAAACCAGTTAAAACCAGCTGATCACTAGCTTGACTAGCTCGGCCAGCCTGAGAGACCAGTTTAAACCAGCTTAACCCAGTTAAAATCAGCTAAAACAAGCTGAACACTAGCGTGACTAGCTCGGCCAGCCTGGGAGACCATCTTAAACCAGTTAAAATCAGCTAAAACCAGCTGAACACTAGCTTATCTAGCTCGGCCAGCCTGGGAGACCAGTTTAAACCAGCTTAAACCAGTTAAAATCAGTTAAAACCAGCTGAACACTTGCTTGACTAGCTCGGCCAGCATGGAAGACCAGTTTAAACCAGCTTAAACCAGTTAAAACCAGCTAAAACCAGCTGATCACTAGCTTGGCTAGCTCGGCCAGCCTGAGAGACCAGTTTAAACCAGCTTAAACCAGCTAAAATCAGCTAAAACAAGCTGAATACTAGCTTGACTAGCTCGGCCAGCATGGAAGACCAGTTTAAACCAGTTTAAACCAGTTAAAACCAACTAAAACCAGCTGAACACTAGCTTGGCTAGCTCCGCCAGCCTGAGAGACCAGTTTAAACCAGCTTAAACCAGTTAAAATCAGCTAAAACAAGCTGAACACTAGCTTGACCAGCCTAAACCAGTTACTTCCAGCTTAAACCAGCTAAGACCAGCCAACCAGTTACTAGACTGGTTTCAGTTGTTTTTCAGCAGGGACATTAGCTCAAAAACTGCATTTGAGAGTGTTTTGTACAAGATCTGGTAAACTGTTTCAAAAGAATTTATTATTTTGGGCATTCTGATCTGTTTTTGATAGCGACTATTGGCTAAAACAAAAGAAAAACAGCAAAACAGTTGCTGTGATGGGTAAACATTTTCACATCAAATCATTTTTAAGCTACATCATGTTAGCCACTAGCTGCTATCAACAACATTTCTCATTTAGCATTATTATAGCTAGTGAAAGCTAGTGCGCGCACACTGTTAGACTTTCTATATGCTAGGGAGCCATCAGGGTAAAAGCGGCGCAGATTTCACAGTGGGAAAAGCCGGATATGAAAAATAAAGCTCTGTCAATAAATGCCAGGCCCTGAGAGACAGAGTAGCGGCAAAGAGCACTTCATTATTTATAACCCCAAATCATGTGGTGTCGCCCCCCTCCCAACAACACTGTGTCTGTAAAAACTGAATAATTTAGAAAGCCATTTAGTCTCAGACATCAGGAGATAGCTGGCAACATGTTAGCATTAGCCAAGTGAAGCAGAGGGTCTTGTTCTGTATCATTATCCCTGACAAACGGCCGTCGGAAACGTGGGGAGACGGATGACATATCAACTGAGAGTTAGCCATCCGCACGATTGGACAAACTTGTTTGGATAAATCCGAGCTTTCCGACTGATTTCTGTTTCTACAGCTACAAAAAAAACCCCAGTGCGCTAACAAGCAAAGTTTAGCGCATTCATTGACATGATATGCTAAATGTTGGTGCTAATCTGCGATTTTAAACTATTTTAAAAGGGCAGTGGCCATGTGGACCAAGTGCAAATAACAATAGTCGCTATTGTTAATAGTCAAACCAGACGTAAGTGGGCGGAGTTAGTGTAAATAGACACAGATGTAATGCAAAACCAAATATATAACAATATATTTGTTTTGTTTTCCAGAAAATATATCAGATAAAATTGCTAAATATTAAGATTACTTGACTTGCAAAATTATGTAGCCTATGCTTATTACAATAATTTTTGTCTTGGTCTTTCCTTGTATATATCTGTGGACAAATGTAAATATAATGGTTGCAACAAACAAACTCATCCTGGATTAGCGAAAGATTAGCATTAGCTCAGAAACGGAGCGCCGCTTTTTGTTCTGGTCCAATTTGGGGGTTTTAATACAGCATATTGTGGCCAAAAAAACCCCTGATTTGATTGAGCCTGCGGACTGCGAAAGGGCGAGAGGCAGTCATCACGAGCATATATCGCTATTTCTGTGCGGAGATCATTATATCTGGCGCCGAAAAACTAATTAGCAGACCAAAACTAAGCTTTTTTTTTTGTGATTCAGAGGATGGCAGGAAAACTGTCTGTAGACAACAATGCACAGAAACACACACCACATCTGACAGACCAGAAACTACAACAAAAACTCAGGGTGCACATTACACAAACACCACAACACAAGGAACCGACCACACAAAGGCTCAATCCAGGAGAACTGGACCGAACAAAGAGAATAATAAAACACAGGAATGCGACGAAGCACGACAGCGTCTCGAGGCATGCAAGCGCAGTTACATTCTCCCATGCGAGATTTCCATGACAGCATGTGCACAGAAGCAATACTGAAGGATGCAAACGAGAAAAGACCCATAATGCAAACTCAAAAACGTAAAACGAACCCGAATTGGCGGGTTAGCTACAGCTAAGTTCTTATTTAGCTTGATTTTTAAACTCCGAATCGCCAGATCAGTCAAGGTTAAGGTTTTAATACATGTTGATTGTTCGATTTAATGTGGGTTAAAAAAAGTGAAAAAAGAAAAAACACACCAACCTTCTCGAAGCTCTGAGGGATGTAAAGGGGTTGATGCAGAACACAATGACATGAGGAGAAGAGAAAAATAGGGGAAACACAGAGAGAGTAAAAAAGGCCACCTCAAGGCTTTTAGCTGCTACATTTCTCTGACTGATGTCGCCTGATTGTTTCGTCTGCCGCGTTTACCTGCTTTGATTCACCCCAGTGGTTGCTGGGAAAAGCGTTCGGCCACTGGAGTCAATTCAAGCATGTTATATAATGACAATGCAAAATTACTAGGTCTTTAGCCACCTGAAGAGCTGCCGCTGCGGCTTTAATTACACAAACAAAACAAAGAGACAAAAACACAAATCAATGATGCAACCCCCGAGAACCAACCAAATCAAAGCGACCGTACAAATAAAAAACACACAATTAGCATTAAAGTTAGCAGCTACAATCAAGACGACCGCGTCGCGTATGCATGGTAACCCAGACAGCAAACTGACATTGAACCAACGTGGAAACATGACATCGAAACAACGTTGATTTTACTCATCGAATTAACGTTGAACCAACGTCAGACGCGGCATTCTTCAAAGCTAAATGAAAATTGAAAATTGGTTTACTTTCATAACGTTGAACCAACGTCAGACGCGTCATTCTTTCAAAACTAGCGGAAAATCAACGTTGTTTCAACGTTATGAAAGCAAACCAATTTTCGATTTTCATTTAGCTTTGAAGAATGCCGCATCTGACGTTGGTTCAACGTTAATTCGATGAGCAAAATTAACGTTGTTTCGATGTCATGAGAGACGTCGTTTCCACGTTGATTCAATGTCAGTTTTTTGTCTGGGTTGCTCATCGAATTAACGTTGAACCAACGTCGGACGCGGCATTCTTCAAAGCTAAATGAAAATCGAAAATTGGTTTGCTTTCATAACGTTGAAACAACGTCAGACGCGGCATTCTTCAAAGCTAAATGAAAATCGAAAATTGGTTTGCTTTCATAACGTTGAACCAACGTCAGACGCGTCATTCTTTCAAAACTAACGGAAAATCAACTTGAAATCAACGCGTTGTTTCAACGTTATGAAAGCAAACCAATTTTCGATTTTCATTTAGTTTTGAAGAATGCCGCGTCTGACGTTGGTTCAACGTTAATTCGATGAGCAAAATCAACGTTGTTTCAATGTCATGAGAGACGTCGTTTCCACGTTGATTCAATGTCAGTTTGCTGTCTGGGTTGCTCATCGAATTAACGTTGAACCAACGTCAGACGCGCCATTCTTCAAAGCTAAATGAAAATCGAAAATTGGTTTGCTTTCATAACGTTGAAACAACGTCAGACGCGTCATTCTTTCAAAACTAACGGAAAATCAACTTGAAATCAACGTTGTTTTAACGTTATGAAAGCGAACCAATTTTCGATTTTCATTTAGCTTTGAAGAATGCCGCGCCTGACGTCGGTTCCACGTTGATTCAATGTCAGTTTGCTGTCTGGGTTGCTCATCGAATTAACGTTGAACCAACGTCGGACGCGGCATTCTTCAAAGCTAAACGAAAATTGAAAATTGGTTTGCTTTCATAACGTTGAAACAACGTTGATTTCAAGTTGATTTTCCGTTAGTTTTGAAACAATGACGTTGGTTCAACGATAATTCGATGAGCAAAACAATGTCAGATCAACGTTGTTTCGATGTCAGTTTGCTATCTGGGAACGGTTTGACTCGTATGAACGGGCGGGTCGTTTCCTCCACTGTAGCTGCTAATTTCAAGAGCCGTTAATTCTAGAACATAAAACGTTTGATTGTACTCAATAATTAAGCTTTGGAAAGAAAGAAAAAAAAGACAAAAGGAGATGGGATATTAGCAGTATGCGCATAATCAGTGAGAAATTAGCATACCTATGTTGAATTAATTACCGCTGCGGTAATTTGAACGGATTTCGGAAATCTCCGGTCACCCAATTACTGAAATGTCACTAGGAATCAGATCAAATGTTACCGAACATCTAACACTGTTTAAGGTCTTATCCCAATAAAATCCCTTCCAGGTCTTCAGAAGAGAGTATAAACAGCCCTAATCCACGACAGGCGTGAAAATCGATCTAAAAGCACGGCCTCTTGTGGATTATTGCCGTTGGTAACTGATAAAAGATTCAAATGTTCAATCGTTAATGAGAATTCCAATTTAGAATTCTGTTCAAACCCAAAAGAATCGTTCTGTGGAACACAAAAGATGATCCTTCAATTCAATGAAAGCAACCGTCTAATGCAGAAAACCCATCATCATATTCTGCAGAAGAAAAAGATGCATCTTCTCTCTATAACAATGAAAAGACAACTCTCTGGCCCATTTTAGAATGTAACGGCCAGTGAATAATTTAAGTTATTTGGTACACAGCGGGAACACGTTTTTAATATGCGTTTGATAAATAATACATGCGCAAAATGCGTCTGCCTTGATTTATTCAAGTCATCAACTCTTCTTAAGGTTAGCATCTGCGCTAATGTAACGCAGTCTCAGACGTTCCTAATATTTTCAATATAACAAATTGAGCAATTACACTTGACATACTTTCGTTGCAACAATTTACCTCTTTATACGCTCAGCATTTTGATTGGCGTATTGCATTGGCCAATCAAAATCAAGACTTACCGTCGTGGCAGTTTCCGCCCATCGTAGAGAAGACTGAACGCTACCCATTAAGTATCGAAAATGCATATTCTGTGTTTTAGCGTAAAGATTAAGGTTTCATTGGTTGTTTTTCGATGGGCTCCAGAGCCGGGTTGCTCCCTACCTCGCACATACAGGTTGGCAGGGGAAGAGTATCGGACGCCTTCGATGTTAGACGCCACACACTCGTACTTCCCCTGGTCCGTTTCCTCAGTGTTTTCGATCTGCAGGGCACCTGGGAGAGCAAAAAATAAAAAAAAAGTACCCCAAAGAAACGGGATGAAAGACAGAGAGAGAGAGAGAAAAAAAAGGGAGAAGACGGAAAACTATTAGAGGTTTGAAAGTAACAAGACTGTCAGAAACTATTTTATTTTGTATGTTTGGTGCGGCGTCGCATTCTCATAAATTGCTCAAAGGCCTTTCCCCGTTTGAAAGCCAACTTCGCCTTTTAACGCAATCTGAGCAGTTCCACACTCAAGGCAAGGAAGATTAGACTGATCTAAATATGTCCGGACGCATCACGTCAAACGCGCTCGGAAGAGAACTAGCAGCGATGTTATGGTGTTCGCAGGAGTGCTGGATCGCATCAATCAGAGCACCGGGAACGAGTCGAGGAGATAAACCGTTGCTCGGTCCCGACGGGAGGGAAGTTGGTGAGGGTCAAGACTTAGACATCCATTAGTTCATGTCGAGATGTGGCTGAAGCTCGGCACAACACTTAAATCCCACCGCATGCATTATTTCAGCAGCTCTCCCAGGAGCCGTGGCAATCCTCATGTCAGTGGGACGGAGAATGCCTATTGGCTTGATATCCCTTTAAATGTCATATATGCCAAAACATGCAAATGTACGTAAATGTATATTAGCCTTCACTTCCTCTGAAATAACCTGAGGACATACTACAGGTGTTACTCAAATGATCAGGATTAGAAACTGTGTTTTGCTTTTTTTGAGCCATCAACATGTAGTTACAAACAAGGTCTCATTTTTTTTTCAAAGTCAAACTGCATTGGAAGTATTTTGAGCGCCTGGGTAAAACATTTTATATTGTACTGCATGTGATCAATTGATTTGAGGGCTCTTAAAGGAATAGTTCACTTTGAAATGAGCTTTTGGTGTGTTTTATCTTACCTCAAGGGCATCCAAGATGTAGGAGTCTTTGTTTCCACAGTAGTTTCAATTTTGATATTTTAAGGTAAAACCGTTCTTGTCTATCAGTCATATAATGGAGGTCTATGGTCACCACCTCAAAGAGCATGCACAGAGAAGTCCAAATTAAACATGATTTAATGACTCGTGAATGTAAGTACACACTGATGGCCTAAGACACGAAACGAGCGGTTTGTGTGAGAAAACCAACAGTATTTATATCGTTTTTACCTCTTGTAACCACAGCCACGTCCAAGTGATCTCTCGCGCGTGTACGTCGCTCATCGTTTACACAGATTTCAGAAGCGTTACCCTTTACTGTGAAGATCTAAACATATTTAGATATAAAGGAAATCGCAATGGAAGACGATTTCGATACATCAACAGACAACGTTGAATTTTTTTCCGCAATCGCGCGAGAAATCACTTACGGGACGTGGCTGTGGTTACAAGAGGTAAAAACTATATACTGTTGGTTTTCTCACACAAACCGCTCGTTTCGTGTCTTAGGCCATCAGTGTGTACTTACATTTACGAGTCATTAAATCATGTTTAATTTGGACTTCTCTGTGCTGCTCTTTGAGGTGGTGACTATAGACCTCCATTATATGACTGATAGAACGGTTTGACCTAAAAATGTCAAAATTGAAACGACTGCGGAAACAAAGACACCTACATCTTGGATGCCCTTGAGGTAAGATAAAACATACCTAAAATTAATTTCAAAGTGAACTATCCCTTTAATAGCATAAGGGGTTGCACTGTATATGTTGACTAGCTTCAGGAAGCTGGACACAGTGTTTAGGTTTTTTTTTCTTTTACAGCATACTACAGCTCCCCCGATGGACATGTACAGTATAACTGTTCCAAATAAGGACCTCTTACCAGCTATATGTGATCAGTTGTTTTGAGAACACTTGAAACGCACTTCCCCGTGGTTCCCGTCTGCCGCTGAAGAGATCCAGGGATTTACAAATTACAAATCTCAACATCATCTCAGGATTCAGGTCTGAATGTGATGCCAACAAATAGATTTCCTTGGGAAGCACCACACACTACTTTGTTTCTCTGTCTTCGAGTTCACCACCATTGCATTTCTACAGGTGCCATCCACACTCCCGGGGAGACGTTCATTCTGGCCGAACGAAGACGTCAACCTTCATCTACGCCGCATGTGGGCGAAGGGACATCAGCAGCAGGGACTCACGCTGCGGTCTGTGTGCCAGTGAGACTATGGCTTCTGGGTGGATGAATCACACCTGCTCGCGGCGGATCAGCAGCATGATGGGATCAGGGAGTTTAGAGGCGTGGCAGGGAGAGTCTAAAATGGAAGGTGGTTTCTAAAGTGTGTGTGTACACGGATCGTTTGATGTGCACATTGGCGAAGCGGGTGGCCGGGCAACAGCAGGTGGGCTTGGAGAGCTTTCTTAAGTCTCCTCAGGTGCGCAGCCGAAGGAGAACCGCTCGCGCGCAACCTGTGTTGGAAAATCTCCATCAGTCAATTCTGGAGAGTAGAAAACAGGCGTGGATTTGAATGCTATTGGAGCAAGGGCTGATAAATAAACCATGGCACAGTGGTATGCCAAGCTCTGAATTCTCCCCGTCACTCTTTCTCATCTCGGCTGGGGTTTGTAACCCTTTTTCTATGAATAGTCAGGCTAATGATTGAGTAATGCCATTGAGGAACTCTTAGCAAATCCAAATTCATTAAATCCAAATGAATTCCCAGCGGCTCCAAAGCAAGCACATGTTCTCAGGGCTCCTTCCTGCCTGAACAGGACTATTTTGGGTACTCCTGCTTGCTATTCAGCCGACTGACGATTCCCCACTGACTTCATTACATATTTGCAGCTGTGTTTTTTTCCCCCGCGCCTGTTTCCGCTTGGGCTCAGATAAGCTCACTGAGAATATATGATCAGTGTTCCTACTTTAGCAGTCTTTCTCCAAATCCATCAGTATCATTGTCCTCACTGCTGATTGGAAACTTTAGCATTCGGCTAATCAGGTTTCTGCGTTCTCGTGAGCTTATTTTTCTCCCAAACAGTCCTTAGCTAAGCAAGCGAGAGGGATATTTAACAACAATGTCGGAAACTGTTCAAAATGTCTTTGATCCCCTCAAATCTCCCTTTCGCTCAGCCACGAGAATGTTTTCAGTTATTATCTTTTGTGTATAATTACATTTTGAATTTCCATTATCCATCCTGCCCGCGGCGTCTTTGAGGCTGCCGGTGTAGCCTTTCCGTTAGCGGCGCAGCTAACGACAAAACAAGCTGTTATCTTACTTTAACAAAAAGTGTCAAGCTCAAAGAGTCAGAACGCCGCACAATACCGTTTTTGTCAGAAGTCATTTTCTAAATATCCGTGGCACGACGCAATCATCTAGCTGACATGAACCCTCTAGCTATGAACGATTATCTGAAGCTCAACAATAACGAATATATTAGAGGATTCGAATGCCTTCTGCAAACTAGGAATAACCCAAAAGCAACAGAACCTTCACTTGGAAAATCAGCAGAAGTTCTTATAAGATCAATATATCAAATAATGCCTCTTTTCACAAGATGTAGGTGTCCCATAGCCTGGGTTTCCCCATAATGGCGAATGTAGAGCGACGGAAATTAGACGAGGAAGACGGCGATGGGTCAGAGATTTATTTGCGTTCTAAACTACTTTATAACAATATCTTTATTAAGATTGAGAGGTGGTCTGGGAACCACGTTCATTTTCTCGTATTTGAGGCGTGGGTTACGAATGCCCAGAGCCGTATTATTGGGTGTTACGAATGTCTATCAAATGCGTCGATACGTAGCTCTTAGCCAATCGGTTCAGTTATACCAGATGATGTATGTAAAGCGACAGAAATTACGATGGCGTATGTACCTAACTGTGTGCGTTCACACCGCCGCTGACTTGAGCTTCCAAAGCGGCCGGAAGTCAATCGTTTTCAACGGAAACTGGCTTCTCTCGGCTGCAAGGAGCGTCAAATCCGTCGCCGTCGTGTTTTGGGTGTTTTGGGCGTTTTGAGCATCAGAAAGTCGAAAGAAGCTCAACTTTATGGTAATGAGCTGTGACGCGGTTCAGCGGCAAAACAATCAACCAATCGGTATATAGACGTCCTTCACGCTGGCTGATTCCGGAGAAATATACAATGTAAAATTTCGTTCCTACCAAAACATTAGCTCCGAGTAAATGGAAGAGAAGCTAATCGTCGCCGCTGCTGTGTTTCCTACTGTATCGTTTATGACGTGACGTTGTTTGCTTATAGGGACCGCGTGAGCGCAACTACTATTTGAAATATTTACGAACGCTTGTTTTAAAGCGGGAATGCAATTCATTTGCTCACGGTGACACCGATTTGACCTCAAATAATAACAATAATAATAGCTAACTATTTTTTTTCACGACCAAATATGACCAAAACGGTTATAAAAACGTTTTTTCTGTTTATTACATTTCATGTTCCTCCCTGCGTCACAGCATTCAAAGCGTCAACAAGCTTCCCCGTACTTTTTGACAAGCGTCCTTGACGGGGCGGCCAGAGCTTCTCAAGTCGGCGGCGGTGTGAACGGTAACTTCGCGTCTGCTGCCATGTTGGATCCATCGGTATAAACAAACTGCTTCGGTGTGTCGAATAGACGTCGTCATCGTCTTGCTTTGCCCTCCCCGTTCTGCGATTGATCTTGGTTTATTCACGCTGCAAGGCAGTCTGGATATAATAGACCAAATTTTCGCCACAGATTCAGATTTTCATGATATTTCGCCTTTAAATAAACAAACACAGGGATGTGTGAATGACAGCCAGTCTGTTTCTGTGGAAATCAGTCACGGACTGTGGAAAGCTTCTCCACCGCATCGGTGTCCTTTAAACTGGCCATTAAATGTTTTTGTCACGATCAGCCGGAGTCGGCGTGAGCTTGTGACTGGCGGACACGCGGTAGCCGTTGACCTGCAACCACTTGGGGCTTTAGCGACGGCCTTGGGAGACAAAGTCTTGTCAACTCCCGTCATCCACCCGATCCCGGATCATGGGGGAAAACAGGCTGGGCTGTCTGTAAAGCGGAGGCCGTGTCAGGAGGCGGCTCTGCT